AGCTTTTTAATTTATTTTTGGCAACTCTCTTTTCTGTCGTTCGCCTCTTCCCTCCTTCTTCTGACAGTCGCAGCCGGACTTGGAGTACGGGGGTCCCTACGCCTGGGTGAGATGGTCGGATAAACTTTGCCGTGTGACCTTAACCGTGTGGCGTGACTGAGACTGACCTGTGGCGTTTCCACTGATTTCATGAGTGCTTTTCTAAAAACCCAAGTGCATCCTTGTCCGTCTGCCAGGCTCTGCCTGGGGGCCGTGATGGAGAGGGCAGGCGCACCCTCTGGAGTGCGGGTCCCCGTGCCAGGGCCTCCTGGGTGCAGCCCTGTCTCCCGACGGGCTCTGGAGCCCGCCAGGCACCGGTGCACAAATACTCCCTAGCCAGAAGGTGCTCACGCACCGGCTGTTGCCGCACCTCATATAGCAGCTGTGCATGCCGACGTGAAAAAGACAGTGTCTGCTTTCAAGGAACTCAGATCAAGAATTCCTGATGCCTCTAAATTTCCTTTAACAGATTAAATGTAAAGTCATTGTACCCAACGGAAAGCCCATTATTTTCTAATCTGTGTCCATTCAAATGAAACGCATGATCCGGCTCTTTAGCCAGAAAGTCCTTTCTGAGGAGAGACCCCAGTTCCAGGAAGGAAAACAAAGGGTTTAGATTTAAATTCAGAATTATTTATTCGTATAGCCTGTCTGTGAGAGTCTCCGTGCCTCGACGCTTCCCCGAAAACCTGTAAAATTTACACCCGGAAGTAGAAAAATTTCTCACCAGAAAGCACAGCTCAGCGTTAACGTGATCTGGAACTGAAGTTTTGAGAGCAGATCATACACCGCTTCACATTAAGGACTCCACGTAAAAGCATTTTGTGTTTCATTTGTCCCGTTGCATTTCAGAATTATTTAGCAAGTTCTTTTGTAGTGGCTAGCGCCGCACGTGTGCACGGCGTACCTGGCGCTCTGAGCCCGCTGGGGGGCCGCGGCTCTGCGCTCAGCAGAGAGAGCGGGGCCGGAGCGAACCCCGGAACCCTGGGTGTGTCCCTGCTCCCTGTTCCTGTGCCCCGTCGCTCGCAGCCGAGCAGCGGCAGCCCGACTGCGCTGCCGAAACGGACGTTGCGTTCTCGCCTCCACTCTGGTGCCATGGCCAGCTCGGTCTGCTACCCGTGTATATCTAAATGTTTCTGAAAATCTGCACTCTTGTAAAAGTCCCGATACCAAGTCCATACTTTTACTTTTCCTCCACACACCAGGCCTTTCTGCAGCTTCAATGATCGCGATAACACGCTAAAAAGGGTGCTTGGTGCGATTTTCGTACGTATCCTAGTGTTTGTATGGAATCTAGAATTTTTGGACTATCACTAGTCTTCTAATGTATCCTTATCTTAAAAAGGCTTGACAGGATGCGCCTCTGGTTACACTATGTTGTCCCACTCATCATTAGCATGTGAAGATGGAGAGGAGTAAGGTAAGCTTTCTCATACTGTGGTTCAGGATGTTCGCACGAGGATGTACAGCAGATCGTGTTGGTGCCGGATGGAAGCATTTGGCTTGATATTACTGATCTTATGGTAGTATCATTGAGATGTAACTCTTGTTTGCAAGTAGCACGTGAGACGGCCTAACAATAGTTACCGGCGAAGCTGCCTGTTGGTCTTAACATTTTGGAAGGTTGGTCGTGTTTTTCGTGTTTTATTAGCGTTTTAACTTGATGCTGTTTTGGCAAACCTCTTTTCGGTCGTTCGCCTTTCCCTCCTTCTGTCCTGACAGTCGCAGTCGCGACTGAGTACTGGGGTCACCTACGCCAGGGAGATGCGTCGGATAACTTGTGCCGTGTGACTTAACGGTGTGGCGGTGACTGCAGACTGGAGGCCTGTGTGGTTTCCACTGATTTCATGAGTGCTTTTCTAAAAACCCAAGTGCATCCTTGTCCGTCTGCCAGGCTCTGCCTGGGGGCCGTGATGGGGAGGGCAGGCGCACCCTCTGGAGTGCGGGTCCCCGTGCCAGGGCCTCCTGGGTGCAGCCCTGTCTCCCGACCGGCTCTGGAGCCCGCCAGGCACCGGTGCACAAATACTCCCTAGCCAGATGGTGCGTGAGCACCGGCTGTTTGCCGCACCTCATATAGCAGCTGTGCATGCCAACGTGAAAAAGACAGTGTCTGCTTTCAAGGAACTCAGATCAAAAATTCCTGATGCCTCTAAATTTCCTTTAACAGATTAAATGTAAAATCATTGTACCCAATGGAAAGCCCATTATTTTCTAATCTGTGTCCATTCAAATGAAATGCATGATCCGGCTCTTTAGCCAGAAAGTCCTTTCTGAGGAGAGACCCCAGTGCCAGGAAGGAAAACAAAGGGTTTAGATTTAAATTCAGAATTATTTATTCGTATAGCCTGTCTGTGAGAGTCTCCGTGCCTCCACGCTTCCCCGAAAACCTGTAAAATTTACACCCGAAAGTAGAAAAATTTCTCACCAGAAAGCACAGCTCAGCGTTAACGTGATTTGGAACTGAAGTTTTGAGAGCAGATTATACACCGCTTCACATTAAGGACTTCACGTAAAAGCATTTTGTGTTTCATTTGCCCCATTGCATTTCAGAATTATTTAGCAAGTTCTTTTGTAGTGGCTAGCGCCGCACGTGTGCACGGCGTACCTGGCGCTCTGAGCCCGCTGCGGGGCCGCGGCTCTGCGCTCAGCAGAGACAGCGGGGGCCGGAGCGAACCCCAGAACCCTGCTGAGCCCCCGCAGACCGCCCGGCGCGGCTTAGATCTGCCCGGGCGGTGGAAAGCACAAAGACCTGTAATCAGACTCAGAAAGTGCCCTTCACAGAATGCTGGTCATCCACGAGCACTTCCCCAGTCGCCCTGCTCGACGACAGCATTTCTGTGACACTGTAACTCGAGCCACTCCGCCGTTCTTCAAGGAATTAAACATATTAGCGATGCGTCTCTAGATTATTGCTCTTTTTATTTTAAGCTCAAAGCAAGTTTTGTTTAAGGGCCAGTGCCTGGTGTATGTGTTTGCAAGGGTCAGGAACACATTTTGGATTTTGTTTTTATTTTCAGTCTCGTTTCTTTTTTAAAAAATTACATTGGATGCATCAGGTATCGCACTCAAGAGTTTTGATTTTTGCCCTTCTTATATATTTTTTCCCCATCTCTAATGCCCTTTAAATGTGCTCTGTCTTTTGACTCCTGTAGAAAAATAGACATTAACATTAATTTAAAAAGCGGACAGTTGACTTTTGCATGATCACGTGGAAAGTTCACACTGCACGGTGGTCATTCGCGTTAGCACTCAGACTAATCGCAAGTTACCGTTAGAATAGCTGGCTTTGGTAGGACATTTACTCGTGTATCTTACTTATCCTGAATTAGAAAATGCTAATTTATGAATGTCCTCTTTATTTTGTTCTCTCTTCTAGCAGTGTTTCTCAATGTTAACGTGTGTAAGATTCACCTGGAGTGCTTGCTAAAATGCCTATTCCTGGGCCCTACCTCCAGGTATTCTGGTTTTCTAGGTGAGGCTCCTAAGAAGCGTGCCAGGTGAGGCAGGAGCATCACCTGAGCCCAGGAGTCTGAGGTCACAGCGAGCTGTGACTGTGCCACTGCACGGCAGCCTGGTCGATAGAGTGAGACTTCGTCTCTTGAAAAATAAGCAAGGAAGCATGCTGGGTAGTCTGCAGACTGCCCCCGAAACACAGCCTGGCAGCGTGGAGCCATTAAAGTGAACAAGCATGTGTACCACGTAAAGCCACCGAGTACAGTGTTGTAAAAAGAATCCTGTAGCGCAAAGCTAGGTAAACGTGAAGTTAGTATGCTGTCTACGGACTTCTCATTCAAATGTTGTCATGGTTAATTGTCATCTCTCCTTATCTCTCCTCCCATTATGCCACGTAGAAACAGCCCCATCCATCTAAATACACCACGTGAAAACACAATTAAGAGGAGAAAGTTGGTGGTGTTCTTTAAGAAGGTCAAAGTACTTTTCACCGCGGAGGTACAGCCAACAAGACACATTCTAGGAACATAGTCTGGGAATATATTCCCCATGACAGGATCCCATTTCCACAGACCTGGGTGGGTGTTCCACAAAGCCTGCAAAGCAGGAGTTTCTCCTGCATTTTCATGGAAGGCTAGAAGACAAACGGTGACGAATGAGGGGGTGCATTCGCCCTCCCAGCTCTTGCTGCAGGCTGAGTTTGGAGGATGGAAAGACCCAAAGGGAAGAATTCCTGCAAAGCAGTCTGCATGTTGTGAGCAGCAGTGAAAAACCAGAGGGCTTTTCTGTACAATTCATTTTTCTTCCTCATTCATTAGTAAAGGAAAAGTCATCTCAAATGGATGGATGTTAGCCTTCATTATTATATTAATTTTTTTCCCAGAGACTAGTTTCTAAAGAGATAACCAGGGAATAAGGTTGAGGTCTGAAACATACCAGTCCTTGACATGCATTTTTATGTCAGATCATCTTGTCGGTGAAGACATGAAAGGAAGTGAGGCAAAGTAAATCTCCTGCCAACCTCCAAAGGTTTTTGCTATAAAATGCATTTCAGAAGTGTTTTCATGTTACTCATAGAGTTCTCTAATTGAATGGAGAAGGATTTCTACATTTTGTTTCAAAACTTCAAATTCATTGATTTTTTTTTTTTGAGTTATAACAAAGGTAAATATATAGTTCTATAGTCAAGGTTTCATGAAACTGGATTTATGATCTGTCTGGAAATTCAATTATTTATTCTGTGTTAATGTCATGGCTGCCAAATATGTGCTAAACGTCACCCCCGACAAGAAACCGTGTCCCGTGGCCCCTGCGTGGCAGGCAGCTTCCACGTGTGTTCCCACACCTGTCCCGTGGGCACACACTTCACGAGGGCGCTGTTCTAGATCTTGCGATCCTCGTTTTCATCGCATGTCATCCTCACGGTGGCCTTGTAAAGTGTATGTTGTTACGCACATTTTTCCTGCAGAGGAAGTGGAGGTTCAAGTGGGTTAAATAACTTGCTTAAGGTCACACGAAAGAGCATCTGTTTGGAATTTGGACACAAGTCCGTGACCTCATGGCATCTCCTTCCATTTTTACCAGTTATGTAGGCTGCTTCTCCTTTTTCTGTCTGGAGAGATGGTTTTGTCTCCAATGTTGGCAGCTCTTGCCTTGCTTGAATCGGCAGAAATTTCCTTGTAGATGAATGAGAGCACTTTTAGAAAGCCCACGCTTGGGCTCAGGGGACCTTGGGCTGAGAACTGAGAAGAGAGGGGAGGTAGACATGCACGGAACATCATTGTTTGTTCCCATTCATTCTGGAGGACAGATTACGAAATCATTTAAGTGAGTCCTTGGATTTCATTTTGAAAAACAAAGCAGGAAGACTGGATGAATGAAAAACCACTATGGAGTACATACCCCACGATGAACATTTTTTTTCCACGATGAACTTCTGTGTTTATAGGTCGAACAGAAGCTAGCTCTGAATCTTTGAATATAGTTCACAGTGGGCCGTGATTTTCAAGGACTTAACCTGAACCAGGGACTGAGAACGCCTCGACTCTGGCCCGGTCGCTGCCCACGGGGCCGGCGTGGTTCGCGGCCTTCTCAGAAGCTAAATGTCCGCGGCACCGTCATAAAACAGGAAAGGAGAAAACTGCCGGACAGCAGCTGCCCAGGCCCACACGCCCACCCCACGGGAGGGACTGGGAGCTGCCTTCAGACCCAGAGTGACATGGCACACGGAGACTACTGGCTGTGCTGTTTTCTCTGGGATGTGTGGAGAGGAGGGGCGGCCCGGAGGCAGCCTGGGCTCTGTACTGTCCCGCGCTTGTCATTCACACGCTCACTAAGAAAGCTCACTCCGTACTCGGCTCACCCTTCCTTGCTGATTTGTGCCTGTGCCTTCGTATGTGTACTGACGTCAGTTGTTCTCTTTTCTGTGTTGAAACAGACAAATGGTTATGATGGAGACTTACACGGACCACAGTCCCTGCATAGAAGATCTGGCAGGGTCAGTATAGTAAATTTGCATGCCACCAAATTCAGACAGGTTGCTTTAAAGCAGGGGTCCTCAAACTTCTTAAATGGGGGTCCAGTTCACTGTCCCCCAGACCGTTGGAGGGCCGGACTATAGCTTTAAAAAAAACTATGAACAAATTCCTATGCACACTGCACATATCATATTTTGAAGTAAAAAAACAAACGGGCAGAAAACACCCGCATGTGGCCCGCGGGCCGTAGTTTGAGGACACCTGCTTTAAAGCTTCTAAAACATATTGCTACGTTTAGCTTCTTTGCTTTGTTTTTTTTTTTTTAATGTTATGATGGGGCTGTCTTTTTTTTCCCTAGCGCATGATAGAATGGAAGATAGTGTTTTCAGCTAGTAAACATCCTCAGAATGTTAGTATTCAAACATTCTTAGAATGTGAATCTGACATTCTGAGCTTTAGTGTGGGAGATACTGATAAGAATCTCTAAGTTTAAATGGATCTAAAATTAAAGATTAGCTCTGTCACTATTTCATTGCCCTAGGTGTCTATGTGTACTGTGTATATTAAGTGTGTCCAGCTTTCAGAAACACTAAATCCAGCGTGATCACAGTTCTTTGCATCTCTCGTTTGTAATCTCATTGAATGTCTGTCTTAACGACACATGCACGGCAGTCCGTGTTTTCCTGGAGAGGAAAAGGAAGAGAGCTGAACGCTTGGAAGGCTCACAGCTGAGGGGTGGCCGGCAGGACAGGGGCCAGAGGAGAGGTAGAAGTGGAGGTGGGGGGAGAGGGGCAAAGAGGGAGAGAGAGAGAGGGAACGGCCCGTGGCAGGGGTGTCAGAGGCCTTTGGATTTATCAAGAAAAAGGTCATTGGGGATTTTAAAAGGTTAAACTGGAACATTTTAATTAAGCTTCTTGATCTGCTACAGGTCCAGTCTACGTTAAAAGATCTAAAATCTTCCTGTTCTTACTGCTTCATTTTTTCTTTTAGCCATACATTCTACTGATTGTGTAAAATAGTATTTCTTTAAATTGATCTGAATTATTTTATGTTAAGATATTATATATATACTTAAATTGTATTTTTAGGCTTCTAATGGGTGAACCACTCCCCCCCCCAGCCTCCCTCCTACCTTAGCCCAGTCTTAGCTTCCTAAAACTGGCTGTGATCGGGTTTTTACTTTCTCATTCCTATCAGGATTGCATACACTTTCAATATATTGCACCCAAGCTCTTCTCATTCCAGACTTTTAAAAAAACAAGTTTAAGGGCTAGGTCCTCCTACTGGTGTTGCTTTTTTTTTTACATTGACGTCCTTTAACTGTCCCCAGCGCAGCTGTGCTTTTGTTTAAGGTGATACAGCATTCCAGAGGGAGGGACGCTCAGCTCACCATTCTGTGCACGCTGGGTGTTGGCAGTTTTGCTGACCATGCTCAGCATTCCTGCAGACTGCTTAGTGGTAGCATTGTGAGACAAGAACTGCGGTTATTTTCTGATGGCCTCTCAACCGCTCATTGGAATTTTACTGACTAGTTTGCAACGTTCCTAAATGCATTACCATGATCGATCACAAAAAAAAATCATAGGTTAGAGTTGGAAGTTACTTTAGAAATTCTTTATTCCAACTTCTACCTAACATTACATTCTTCTCTAGAACATCCCTAACGTGTAGTTGGCAACATGTTTGTGGCAGTACAAGGTGACGTCAGGCTCTATGTTGTACATATACCCATATATTTTAATCTTTGCTTTCTACATAAAGACAGTAAAAGTGTGCTTTATGATTTAGTTAAGATTTAAATAATGCCTCTCTGCAAACCAAATACAAAAGGACCCGATTATAAAACTGTTCACCACTGAATGTAATTGGCTATAAAATTGATTTAATAAATAATCAGAAAGTATAATGGTTGAAGAACAAAATAACGTACGTCCTAGGCAGCATCATGTATGGGAAGATTCCCAGAGCAGAAAACTCCAGAAACGGTGTGAGGAGGAGCTTGGAGGAAAGACTGGATGGGAATGAGAAACTTCATAGATGCAGGAAATACCTGCTGGCGGGAGGGAATAAAAGGACAAGACTGACGCCGGAGTTGGAAATGCCCGTTTCCTCTCTCAGGAACCCAGAATCTCCGTAGCAGGAGAACTGATCATTTTGAGTGCCATCTCGGGCCTCCATGTGTACCTTCCACACGTGGCACTATCCCTCCACGACCTTGGTTGACTACACTCACGACACCATACAGACAGCCTGCAGGGCGGCGACACCTGTCAGCCGGACAGGTGGGAGCAGGCCCGCTCAGACTCCGCCTGCCTTCCTGGAGCTTCAGGGCCGAGCTGTCGCCCTCACATGGGCTGGGCTGAAAGAAAATTAAAAATTTTTTCAATGCACAGAATTTTAATTACTTAACAAGATAGGTAGTGAGGACAGGTCAGACTAGGAGGCTATAGGTGGTCTGGCGTGAGATTTATTAAGTAATTACAAATAATACTAGAGACGTGAAACTGTGAAAAGCCGGGATAGATAAACGCGCGGCATCACCGAGACCTAGACGCTGAAATAAAAAAATGCAGCTTAGAATCTCCACTTGTTAAGAATTTCTGCTATGCCAGTTGTCTCGATTCTAGATAAATCAGCATTCCCGGGGTGCTAATATTGGCTTGGTCGTGTCAGCTCTTAGCTGCCTTTTGCGTGGGGTAGGCAGTGCTCTTGGAACAGAGAGGAGCTGCTCACCATTCAAATGGCTTCTTCTTTGCTGCTCAGAACTCCAGCTACAGCGGTGACGGCAGATTCTCCACTTTGTCATCATCCAGGGAGGAGAAGCTGGTCGGTTTCCATTTAAATCTTTCGCATCCTATCTTCAGAAACTACAGGTTTTGTAGCATGCAGTCTTGTATGTGCGAGTTCAGCTCTACTCTCCTCTTTTACTGTCTATTTTATGAATTTTTATTTTGTTATTCTGTGCAGGCTTACTTCTGTGACCTGCATTTGACTATGCCAAAAGGGTCCTTTAATTTGAGTAAAACGTGTGTTGTGCATTTTTCCTAATTGGAATTAATCAAAAGGAAGAAAGAATGAGAAGCATGCCTTGGAGTCCTTTCCTAGACAGTTTCTGAAAACAGAATTACTTTGTAGGGTCCATGCAAATTTTGCTCTGTTTCTCAGGGATGGACCAGACTTGGAATGAAAATCAAAGCTAATCCAAATCCAGATGTCTACACAATAGAGTTCCTTCCCATAAGAACATGCACCAATCTTGATATCGTTTCTGTTGTTTAAGAGCCCTAAAACAGCTAAGGCTTGCTCGTCCTAGTTAAGGTTCATATTCACTCAGCAGAGTTAGGGAACTAGTCTAGGTAAGAAGGAAACTGAACCGGTCCTGGGATCGCAGAGGTAAGCAGGTGAGACAGGTGCTCTCACAGCTCGAGCTTCTAGAAGAGAAGACAGAACACCACCCCGGTACTAGGGCAGCCGTGAACAGGTCAGTAGATAGGACGCTAGGGAGACGCTCATTTTGCCGGAAAGTGTCCTAACAAAGGATGTGAACTGAACCCGAAAGAATAAATAGGAAAATAAAAGCCCAATAAGAATAAATGGGAACTAACCAGGTACAGCCTAGAGGGGAAGCTCTTTGAGAATAAGGAGGCCGTGGGGCAGAGCAGAGGCCGTGAGCCGTGAGGACTTCCTGGGAGAAGCTCTGCCTGGCTGAGCTCAGGGCAGTGCCTGACCCCGGCAACCGCTCCCCTCTGAATCGGAAAATCAGAAAAAGTCAGACACCCACACAGTGCCTCTTCTGTTTCCTTCCCTGCCCCCATGTACCCTCCGACCCCGTTCAAATGCTTCTAGAAAAAATAGCTGGACCCCCTTCCATCCCCTACCCCCCACACCCCAGTCCTGTTTCCCCTCGGGGCCTCCTTTCTTGCAGGGGCCCTGCCTCCTCCCCTGCCACAGTCTTTGAACTCCAGGTCCCCTGGTCCCCTCGTCCTCACCTCTGAGAGGCCTCATTCACACCCCCCCCCATGCCAGAGGGGGCTCCGGAAGGTGCGGGCAGCTCCCTCACCCCTGCGGCTCGTCCACTTTCCCAACTCCTGCTGCCTCCCAGACCCTGCAATGGTCAGTCCTCCTCCGCCGGCCCTCACCTAAGCTGGTGACCTTCCTGCCCCCAGTGGTGAGTTTTGACTGGACGTGAGATGAGCTGTGAGCACTAAGGTACTGGTGGGTGTTAGCACTTCGAAAAAGAGCTTGCGTGCTTTCTCAGCTCCCGGGGAGATTGTGCTGTTGCAGAGAGCACTTAGTCATTAAGAAAACTTTATTTCCTCCTCGTTTTTGACAAGCTGAGATACTTGCTGTAAACTAGACAGTGGTGATAGGTATCTACTGCTTAGATATGAATTATTCCCCCAAGTTCAGCTTGCATTGGCTCGTAAATTCATTTAAGAGAAACAGCCCACCTCCAAAGGGTTAAATGCCAAATTCGAGCTGGCCCGTTCAAACATAAAGGACATCAGAGCTCGTTCCCTGAGGCCACGTGCCCCCATCAATCTGCTGCCCGAAGTCCCATTTTACTCACCACCCCTCTCCAGAATCTTCCTGGTCATCATGCTCTGGAGGTGCCTGTCTGTCCCTACGCAACACACCAGCTTGCTTAATTTTATTCGAATATAATACTGGGGAATTATCCCTGTAAACGCAGTACTTACCACTCTTCAGAATGACTTCTCCAGTGCGTCGGGTCTGTCAGAAGCAATCCCTGGACGTGACGGCGCGGTACTGAGTGGGGGCCGAGGGCACTCTCTCCCACGTGGCTGGGGCCCCTTGTGCCGTCTCCCACGGCAGGGCGGACACAGCGACATCCACACAGGGCATGCTCTCCAGCTGCTGGAACACGTCCCGGTATTTGCGCTAAATGGTGAGGGCGTCTCCCTGCGCACCCCAGAATCCCACTTACGGAATCTCCTTCAGGTCATTTTGGTGTGGCCTGTCCATGGATAGGGGCGAGAGGCACAAGGTAGGGGACCTGGAAGAGTCACCTTAAGGTGCTGTCAGGCCACTTGCAGAGAACTACGTCAAGGACTGCGCTGTTCCTGTATGATTAGCATGCCCTAGACAGGTCCGACGCGACTAGCTTCCCCTTCAAGGGTCCTTTAATTTGAGTAAAACGTGTGTTGGGGGAAGCCATTCGCTTACATAGGAGTGATCCCCAGAAATGTTGTCCATACTGTGGGTCTCAGAATTGTGCTGCTGAGTTCATCGCAACTTCTGTGACTCCTGAAGGCATGTTCATCCTGTAAATGCCCAACCAGTTAGGCAAGGGGCCAAGCGGGAGGTCATCCCGGAAAAAGTATTTTATTAGTTTTGAGTTTTTCCCACAAACCTTTGCAAATTAGAACTCAAATCACAAAGGTTTTCCAAGCCTCCAGGGCCTTGCTATCAGCTAAAATCTATGTTTCTCTGTGTGTAGACTCAAAAATCCTGATTTGGTCTCATGTAATAATTCTGACAGTTAACTGGCTGGGCCATCTCTATTTCCTTTCTGATCGTCTTTCTTCCCCTCCCCGATAAGTGCATGCCCTTTACTGTTTTTGTTGTAAATGCTCCTTATGTCTGAACTGACAGAGCTGACGTTCCTTTGAATGACATAAGGGTGTGAGCCTTTGTCCCTCCCGCCTGCCCGTTTGCTCTGATTGCAGGGCCCTGCTGCTCCAACCCCGGGCTTCCCAGTGGTGGTCTTGCACCCTGTGTGTCCTGAATGGAAACTGAGTCTGTCTCCTTTTCACGTCACCTTTTCCCTCCTGCTCTTCCCTTCTGTGCATCCTTTAATTGCTGGTTAAACTTAGTGGGTACGTCAACCTTCTCCATACGAAGTCAAAAGAGCAGAGCTCAGTAAGTGTTTTATTCATAATTGGCTTGACTAGTTTGCTAAGACGTCTCTCAATCTTTTTTTAAAAAGTATCTAAAATATTTAGGACCTGATAATACAAAGAAGGAACTTTAAAAAGGAGGGTTTTGTTGAATGTGTATTTTCAAAAACCCAGGTCCAAAATAATTAGTCTCCTGGGTCTCTCCTCCTTTTCCAGCAATTGTTCCCCATTTGGGGTTTCATTTGTCCTTTTAAAAATATTTTTCTCTTGTAAATGTGTCCAGGAAGCAATTTGGAAGGTTTTCGTGCATAATCCGACTCCTTCGTCTTTGAGACAAGGACGTGACAGCGTGATTTCCCTGGCGCGCGCTCTGCTCGGTTTCCTGTTTTTATAAGGCCGGGCCAGGGCCAGCGCCGATTTGCTTGCCACCTTAGCTTTAGGAGGACGAGTCCGTCCTAACACGGGGAAGCCGTGTCCGAGGCCCAAGGGCAGGTCATGTTTTGGGGGTTGAATTGTCATCTCCCTGGCATGCAGACTACAGTCGCTGAGTGACTCACCGCCCGCGCCCCACGCACCTCGTGTGACTCACGGGCCGTGCCTGGGACCTCTGGCCTGTGACAGTTCGGGACTCTGCCCCGTGGCTGGGTCAGCCTCGCACGCTGGTGAACGCCTCTGAATTCCAGCACGTCCCCTCGCGGCCACTGCCTCGCCAACACACGTGCTGGGCGTGGGCTCCCCTTGGGCGAGGAGGGCACACGCAGGGCACAGGGCAGCACCTGCCGGAGTGCCAGCCCCCCCGCCCCCGGCTCCCTGTCCCATGTTGGATGTGGCTGGCAGCCCGCGATGGAAGTCAATACTACCCTGTCTCTGCTGCTGTCTTCACAGGTGGAAACTGTGCACTAACCACCCCGAAGTGCTTTGCTAGCCTCAGCTTCCGAGTTGTCCCTTTCATTGCTGCTGCTTGTGTTGACCTTGTTACCGTCCGTTCTCTGCCATTCCCCGGCCCCTTTTGTCCAGGAATGCCTGAAAAAAAGAAATGACTAGAAAATAATCATATCTCAAAGATGCTGGCATTTACTATTTCAAAGTTTTAAAATCAAATCGGGATTTATCTTTCTTGTGAAGTTGTGGGTTTGCATCTGTCAGATTTAACTGGCAGCTGCGGTGCCTTCTCACTGCTGCACAGTGACTTGGCTGTCATGGTAACCGAAAGCACCATGGTGGCCTCATTGCTTATTATTTGCTGATGTTTTTCCAAGGCTTCTAAAACCTGCCGTTTGCTTCCGTCCTGCAGCGCTCCTGTCTGCACCGCTCCGCCCGGCCTGCGGGGAGCTACCGGGTGCGTGCGCCCCGCCCGGCACCCACTGCACATGCGCGCCGCCTCACCGCGGAACCGCACCTTTGCTCGGAGCTTACACGTGTCGGTGGCGCCTGTCCGTCCCTTTGGCCAGATCTGGGTTTTATCTCTCTGGACGGCTGATAAAGCTGTCACGCTGCCCCAGCCTCCGGGATTGTTAGGAATGGAACCAGGGCAACGTTTGCTTTACCTGTTAGCAGAAAGCAAGCTGGGTTTTTAAGGTGTTGGTAACCTGGGCAGAGGCTCGTCACGTCACTATATTTCTTTGCAAATTCCATGTTCTGAATACGGATTCTTAAGCTATGTAGGAAGCAAACTAAATATTCAAAGTAGCCACACTGCATTGTCAAGAACGGTCTAAGTTTCCACCAGATTATACACTTATGAATTAGATATATAAACGGCTGAGCAAACCAGTGTGTCCTCAGGGGAAAACAGAGAAAACTTAAGTCCCTTTAAACTGGGCAAAGTTTGACATCGCCACTTCCGTACTGTAAGCTCCTGTGCACCCACAGTGACTAACCACATAATATTTCCAAGCTAACCAAGTATTCTGTTTTCTACTAAGCAGCTTTTAAAGAGTTATAAAATGTGCATCATTAAAACTACAATTAACATAGTTTAATACTTCATTTCAAAGTCATTTCACCAGAGATTAATTTCTCAAACATCGTTGTGTGAGGACGCCGCGACAAAACTTAGGGTGTTTGAATTGTGTGTTCATTTTAAATCTGGATTAACAAGTTTTAACTTGGCATGGAACGATTTCCAAAATAATAGAGGTTGAATGGCACACAGGTTGACAGCAGCTAAAACTTCTCTGCCGTCTGAATTTTGCACGTTCCTTGTGCCCCACGGCTCTTGGGAGAAGAGCTGGAAGAGGTGGCTTCGAGCCCCCCCTGCATGATGGCTTTCCGGACATGCTCCTGGCACGTGTCGATCTTTCTTAGCTTGCGTTTTCTGGGCACTGTTGGAGAAAGGAAGGCGCCCATCCTGACAGTCTGTTTTGGTCACAGGCGTCCGTGTTCGACGACAGCAGCCTCGGCGGGGCGCAGTGGAGCAGGGCCCGCGGTTCCCGTGCTGTAAGGCGCTTTCTGAGTTTCCCGCTCTCCCCCGCCCCGCATGGCCCTGGGGAAGCTCTCCGGACGGGGTCCAGCCGTGGGGGGGGGGGGGGAGCTACCTAACACACAGGAAAGAAAGCCTCTCGCCCCCATCCACCGGCGGGCAGAAATAAAAGGCACACACAGACTGAAGGAACCAACCGCTGGCAGCCAAATGAATGCACTCACCCCTCACGCAAGACAAAGGCAAAACAAAATCAAGCGCCCTCCCCCGGCTGCCGGCCTCCGCTCTGTCGCACTGGCCGTGCTAGCGAGCAGCAACGGTGTGCTCTTAAAATAAAACAGGGAGAAGAAAAGGAATTTGGCAGGCCACACATTGTTTTCGTCTCCGAAACAAAATGATGGGAGGAAGGCGAACAAATTTAAAGACTTGGAATATAGTACACCTATTTAATTTCCTTTTAAAAAAAATGTTTTTGTCTTTTCACCTCTTTTTTTTTCAAAGGATTTGAAACGATAGGCTCAGCTACCAGAATAAAGTGGGTACAATACGTATTGGTAAATGAATGGGTGAGCGAGCACAGTAATAGAATAGAAAGGCGAGAGAGTGTGTGGGGGAGAGGAGGCGAACTCGCCTGCCCGGAGGACCTGACCCGTGGGACGGGCGCGTCCAGCCCGATTTGTGCCGCGCGGCGGTGGAGGCAGCGGGGCCGGGAGGCTCCTGCACAGCCCTGTGACGCTGCGTTCGAGCCCCACCTGAAGTGCGGTGCTTTGCTAAGAAGTGCTCGAGATGCTTTTATAATTTCGCTTTTGAAATTAATTGGCTAACCCTAACTGTAAAGTCCATTTTTGTGATGCACTATGCTATTTGTCCAACCATCATGGATATTCACAAATTCCTGTGAGGTAAGCCAATCTAGCCTACAGTGTTCTTTAAAATGTAATTTTTCATGAATATTAATCTAATACTCCGTTGACATAGCACATAGTTGACATATTAATTAGATCCATATTAATCTAATACTCCGTTGACATAGCACATAGTTGACATATTAATTAGATTAATATTAATCTAATACTCCGTTGACATAGTTTTTGTTGACATCGAATTGAATACCAATTTTCGTATTGCAGAAATTGTCTAATGTAGTAGGGCCCACCATACTAAACGTTTTCCCCAGTTCTTGCACGTTTTCGTGGGCTGTTTGCTAGAAAGCTCATCAGCTGTGCCTGCAGGCTGAGATGGCCCCGCCCATGGCCTGTAATATGATGGATAAAGTACAACTAAATGGTTTTCTTTCATCAGAAAAGAGGGAGCACACTAATTCTTTAAGAGAATTTTCCCCAAGCGCTAGGTGGTCTTCTGGTGGCCTGAGTAGGATTTCTAAGGCCTGGCAGGATGGGGGGGGGGGCTCATATATGCTCTGTGAATACTACCGTGTCACCCTTGAGGTGAACTCCTGGAGTGACCCGTCCTTAGATCCCTGGCCCGTGTTGCTCTTTTGCGAGCAGTGATTTCTGTGCCTCCCGCCTGCCTTGGGGTTGCCTGGGAGCGCTGGCGTTAGCAGAATCAAGGAAACGAAAGGTCATCTCATCCTGGCAGCACAAGGGCCTAAAATAGGACTGGTAAGCTCTGCTGTCGGCAAAAACTTAGCATGGTGAGTAAGAGGGAGGGGACACAGAGGTTCCTGAGCGCCTGGCCTCACCTGTCTTTTCCCTGAACGCTCTCTGTTCCCCTCCAAGTGCATACTCGGTTTCTTACATTCCGGGGTGTTCACTGGAAGAAAGCCTCCCCAGTTCTTGGTCCAGCTTATGGGGAGGCTGCGGCTCTGGCATCTTGTCCTTCGGCCCAGAGCAGAGTCCAGCGAGGACCTGGCCCCCTGGGCCTGAGGCACCACCAGCCCCAGTTGCTGCGACCTCAGGGTCAAGGCTGACCCCAAGCCTGCACGGACAGGCCTGGTCCCACTTTGGGGGACTCCCTCCTGCCCCTGGAAGACCAGGAATTGCCCCCTGGCAACCCCTGAGGAAGGGCTAACGGCTGTGTGAAGTGACCTTCTTAGTCGTTTGACACACAGGGATGCAGTTGTCACCTGTGGTGTCATCTGATCCAGGAGCTAGGGAAGATGTTTCTAGCAGAAAGTGAAAGTAGAGGGGAAAAACAACAACAACAACATGCATTCTCTCTCTTAACCCCAGCACCTCGGTGTGGCCTGTGTCCTTACTTCCATGTCACAGATGGCAGACCAAGTGACACTTATCTGTGATCCTGTGTGGCCAGCAGGAGATTGGAGCTGTGTTTCGAACTCGGAGCTTTCTGACTTACACCAGCCCTGCCTTAGCCACACGACTCGCACACATAGGGCCGCACGTGGACCTCAGTGGTGGAGACTTTTACCTTACTCTTTCCCGCATGGTCCGGGCAGGTCGGCTGGTCTGAGAGCTGTTTCGATTAGGGATGCTTGGGCTGGCGGTAAGCTCTGCTGTCAACAATCTGCCATATCCTTGCACCATAGGCCAGGGCGTGAGAGACTCGGAATGTAGTGGGATTTCTCTACAGTCTCCTACCAGTAAACCCTCAGGGGAAATTCTTCTGCCTTCAAGTGCTAACATGTTTTCCTCTATTTTGAATGATAGTAATACGGGCGAATCTCTTGCCTGGGCCGTATGTGGCAGTGATGTCTCACGTTTGGAGAGCACACAGCAGTGCTACCTGTGCATCTTAAACCATATCTTGCACCGGAGTTGAGTGCATAGTAAACATTTACCGAGTAGGGCAGGGGTCCTCAAACTTTTTAAACAGGGGGCCAGTTCATGTCCCTCAGACCGTTGGAGAGTGCGCACTGTGGGCCCGGGACGAGTCGGCTGCTAATAAGCAGGACAGGCAGCGGCGGTGGCAAAAACACCCAGAGGGCCGGATAAATGTGCCAGGCAGCCCGCAGGTGGGCTGCGGGCCGTAGTTTGAGGACTCCTGGAGTAGGGGAATGGGTGTAGACAGGATGGGTCTGGACCTGCCCAGCCTGACCACGGCACTGTAAAACACTTAATGCTTTTAATCAATATCTGACGGTTATTTATAGTCTAAAGCTGAAACCACTCGTTCAGTCGACACGTGTATTTCCTGAGTGTGCCAGCACTAACCTGGTCCCAGGAGGTCCACCCTGGCGGGGAGACAGACCGACGGAGAGCTGGTGTTTGAGATGAGACCCCGAGTGCCCCGGAAGGTCCAGGGCTCCTCGTAACTTGAGTAAGGGTAATGCCCGCAGGTCAGCGGAGGCCCTGAGGCCCGCAGAGGGGGTGGCCGGCGCCCGGCCCAGGGTGGGCCGTCCCTGTCAGCCGTGCAGGGTGCTGCGTGCAGGGTCCCTCTCGCACACGCTCCTCACTCAGGAGGGTCAGGATGTGCTCGGTGCTTGTGGCCCGAAGGCGTCCACACCCTGCCCCCACCACCTCGCCTTGCTCAGAGGAAAAGGAGAGTTTTCTTTAACGACCTGAAAACCTAAGACCAGAGCAAGTCGACGTTAGGCGGGCAGAGCTGCTAGGGCGTTTAGTTGCTGGCGTTTTCCTCCACCGGAAGTGAGAAAGCTCAGAGAGATGGGCGGGCGGGTGCACCCAGGGGGAAGGGGATCTCGCACTCGTACGCACTGTGTATTAGCCCTAAATCTTACTTCGTTTCTGCTCGGAAAGGCAGAGAAGCAGAACTCCCCAGCGCTCGGGCACCAGGCCCCGCGGCCTACCGCTCGGTTATCTCCCGGCCAGAGGGGTGGCTCTGTGCGTGAACGAGGGCGACTGCACGCCCAGGCTGAACAGATGCTGTGTGTCATTTTCTTCTTACTGACTCCGAGAATTCTGTATTCCTTTGATAACATGATTAATTTATTTTTCTTCTTGGTGGCACGTAATCTGAGTGTACGTTTGCCCTCTGCCTAACCTCTCTTTCCCCCCCGAGTGCGTGTGGCTGACCCCGCAGCTAACCGGCCTCTGTTCTCCTTGCCTCTCTGCTGACCCTGTTCCTTTGTCTCTGGCTGCGCGTCCCGGCGGCGGCTGTGCGGCAGCCCTCGGAGTGCAGCGGCCACCTCAACTCCGGCTCCCGTGCATCCTCCAGGGCCAGCTCGGCGCGGGCCAGCCCCGTGGTAAGTCCGCCTCCTGGCCTCGCCCGGGGGCCTTCACCCCTTCCTCTTCCTCCTCCTCCCCTTTCTCCTCCTCTTCCAGGGGTTCCAAATTTAGCATATTACTATTTGACGGTGTTACTAGGATTACGCTGCTAAATTTTTCGAAGACCCTTGTAAAAGTTGTTAACAGTCCTTAGCGGAGGGAAACTGTAGCCGCATGCATGGAGAAGTGGGCTTTCATCATTTACAGATGTGAGGGTCTGACTTTGAGCGTTTTGTTTGAAACGTTATCTGTTGTCAGGCCCAGGCAGCGTTTAAAGTAAAGCCTGGGCCTATAAAGGCTGGGAGGTTCCTAGTTCTGCCACATGGGTTCCCGGGTCGTTCAGAACATGCACGTTCACAGGCCTGCACCCTGCCACTCTAGCATGCTTTCAAGGAGGGTTTTGCAGGGCATTTTTGGCCTGGGAGACTGTGGGAACAGGGGAGGGACGCTGGCTGCAGGGGAGGGTTCCGCACTCCGGGCCAGCGGCACCCTCCCCGGTAAGCCCTGGGGAGAGAGGAGGAGGATGGGCAAGGCGATCTCTTAACCCCCAGCCACAGAGAACCCTAAATGCGGCTCTTAACTTGGCCACCCAACACCGTGCTTAGTGTGTTGGTGCCCGAACGTCCGCCGACTCTTCCTGGTAATCAGCGAGCGGCTGCAGGGCTGAGATGTCCCCCTTACGCAGAGGTACCTCGTTCGGCCAGTTTCCTTGTCGCGCTAGTGCTTTGCTTGTGTTGTAAGTCAGAGGCAGTCTTTCAGAAGAACTCTGAGATTTCCTACCAGATGCAGACACCAGCTGCTCTGGGGAAGAAAACAGGGGCGTCGAGTCCCTGGCCGCTCCAGTGAGGGGGGCAGCCTCCGTCCCCACCCACCCCGTTTCGAGGACTCCGGGCCAAGCCCCAGCCGCCATCCCTCCGTCACTGGGCCCGCAGCGGCGCTTGCCCCACGCTGGAGACAGTTTCTCTCCACCATCCCGCCAGGGAGCGCGAGGACACCGGAGCCAGCCCAGGAGGGTGGGTGTCAGCTCGCAGCAGCCTGCTCCTTTGCGCAAGCCAAGGCTGTCCCCTCTGTAACCTGCAGACCCCAGCCTCATCTCACACGTGGCTGTGCCCGCCGGGCTCACAAGTGCCCTGGACACCAGCGAGAAGGGGGAGAAACCGGGTGGCTGAGCGAGGCAGGTGTGTGTGTGGCAAACGCCGCACAAACTCCAGCACCTGCTGCTCCTCATTAAAAGTCTCCCCAGAACCGACCAAGCAGTGATAGTGAGATACGCAGCCACTCCTTAGCGTGTGACTTTCGTCTTCACGATCCGGCTGGGTATTCCAAATACTCCTTCCGCCCGGGGGGGAGGAGCAGTCGGTGCAGGGCAGTGTTGGTGTGGGTGTCACGGTGAAAGGGGAATGACCCCTCGGTCTGGCCTTCCTCGGGGCGGGCCGTTACAGGACCCAGGCTCAGATGTCACAGCGCTCACTCCTGGCTGGCGACATCTGGCCAGGCACATAAACTTCTTGAGATTCTGGAAAGAAGGGTCTTGACACCCTTCAAAACAAACACGACTGAAAAAGTGAGGCATGGTTACCTCCATTCTCCTTAGCTGGGTTGCCCAGGGGGGTGACACAATCGTTGCAGCGTGGTGGCCCGTGGGAAATGCTGCCCCGCCCGGCACTTGGTCGGGGCTGTGCACCCGGGGCTGGTACGGGTGAGGACAGAGCAGGGAAGGCGGAGGTCACAGCGGGGTGGGCCTGCGGGGAGTGCCACCCCGGGTTTAGGAGACTCGCATCTGCTAGAGAGAAAGGAAGGCTGCTGCCCCAGAGGGTGGGGGCGGGGACAGTGCTGTTAAAGAGCAGAAGTGACCAGAACGAAGGAAACGGTCACTTGTCCTGCTTTGAGAAAAAGCGCTGCGGTGTCTGAGACCAGCTAGGAGCACCAGGACGTGGCGTTTGCCCCACCCCGGTCCTCCCAGGGCTGCAGCTCACGGGGACATGTGACGCGGTTGTGCCTCACTCTTGTCCCCCCCCACACACACACCCCACCCCATCCTGAAGAGGAGGAGCCGTCTCTTCCTCTCCAACACGTCCGGCTCTCCTCCCTGAGGAAGCCGTTGTTCGCTCATTCAGCCCCTGAGCACCTAGAACGTTCCGGGCACAGGGCCATAGTGCGAGCCAACACAGAGCTGCCGTGTCCTCCTGAGGGCTCCCCCGGCGGTCAGACGTGCAGTAGGAACCGCAGCGGCGCGGCCGCGAGGGAGAGGCGAAGGTGCCCGGAGAGCGTTGGAATCGGAAGGTTTGAGGACCAGGCTCGGACCAGACATCTGCCCGGGGAGAACGACGCTTCTCCCCGGGTAGATGTCTGGGACGCTTCTCCCCGGGCAGTCCCCGTGGGACTGTGGGAACGGGCCCCACAGTCCCACGGGGAACCCAGCGCCCGTTTCTGAAACCTCCATCAGGAGTGTCCCGAGTGGAGCCGGGGTCCCTGTGTCACCTTGCGTATCCAGAGGAAAGCGAAAGGCTGTGTGACTCACGTGTTGTGTTGTCTGAGGACGCAGGGCAGGGACTAGGAGGTAAAATGGGCCCTGAGTTGTGCTAAGCACGGGAGTTCACGCATAAGTCATTCAGGATCACGTCAGTGTTACTGGATTTCAAACCAAACGTTTCCACCCTGATGATAGGCTCTGCCAGTCAGTTAAATTTGAAAGAAAATCGCCCTAAAAGTGGGTGTTTTCTGAGCACGGTTTGCTGTTGTCGGTTTGTGTCTCGGGAGGGACGTCAGGCAGTGACGTTGCTTGGGCGACGAGGAAACGCTCCTTCTGGGCCTGTCCCCTCGGGCAGGGTGTCTCTGTGCACGTGGACAGGTGCCCACGAATTGTGTTCTGTCTCGAGGCAAGGGGACAAGTAGCTGGTGAACTGGAAAACCTAGCGTTTTGAACCTTACGGGGCACCGTGTTTACGTGAGCCTCAGTAGTAAACTCGTTTAGACACCACGTTAGAGGTTGGATTGCGTAAAATAGTTCACGTGCTCCTCTAAGCATTTGGTTTTCACGGGAAAAGTTGCCGTAAATGAAACTGGCACAGATATTTTTTTTAGAAGTGACTGTTTCCAGTAGGTTTTTAAAGGTGTCTTTGTACACTCAGTTGCGATCCTGCAATATCATGATGTGCATGTTTTATAAACCTGTGGGGGATGAAGTTTTCCCACGGGGCTGAAGTGTTTAGTTTTGCTCAGAGGACGAGAGGGATGAAGTGAATGGGCTGCAAGGCGTGTGCACCGTGGCCATTCCCAGTGTGGAGCCTGTGCCCGGCCACGCCTCCATGTCATGGTCCCCACACCTAGTCATAAAGGGCCACGACAGTGTTTGAAATACTTTCATTTTTTTCAGTTTCTTTGCATATTATTTTCAGAGATAAAATATTGTGTTATGTGTCAAAATTAAATGCACCATCTGGCTTACTGACCCATCTTTCACGGGGCTTCGTGAAAGGGGTGTTGTATAAAGCAGGTGCAGTCGCTTCCTGGGCCCGGCCCAGGCAGAGCCGGCACACGCTGCCTTCTAGCTGGGGCCCGTAGGGGTGCTATGGGCGCCTCCTCCCCCCCCTCCCCCGGCAGGGCAGGAATCCAGAGGGGCTCCGCAGACCTTGTGCTGCAGGAAAGTAGCAAATATATGTGTCCCTTTTAATTCGGACAACAAACAAAACAGAATTTACTCTAATGTGGAATTAATGTTTGTTCTGCAAACTAGCTAATGCTGAGGAACGAAGGCCTTGGGCCCGGAGACTTAATGAATCGGTTCCCCAGCAGACTAGGTGCCGGGCGGTTCACTTTTCCTTAGTTATCTGAAAGTTTAGTTTTGGAAAATATTTCAGGAATATTTTTGCCCCCGAGTGGAGGAGAAGAACCACACTGGAAATGCTAAAACCATCCTCTCGGCCGGGAAGGCTGGCGCAGGGCTCCCTGGGGCTCCGCGAGGTGAGACACAACCGTTTCCATCGGAGGTTGGCCCCAGGGCCCCAAAATGCGTAGTAAGGGCGACGTGGCAGGCACACCTGGAAAAACCATTCCGGGTGTGCGCTTTTACACGTATCAACACGCATGAAAAGGTGCAGGCGGTGTGGGCACACCTGGAGGGCGGCCGTCCTTACCTGCGGGACTGCACCGTCAGGAGGGAGAAGCGGCGACAGGGAGGCGAGTCGCGGGCAGGCTGAGGCTGGGGAAGCTCCCACGAGACACGTGGCTGGGCCTTGGAGGGCAGTGGCTGTTGGCCAGGTGGAAGGTAGATCCTCTAGGCAGAGGGACCACTGGGCATGCAAGCCCCCCAACCCTTCGGGTCTGAGGGCCTCTTCACTTACTTCCTCTCCTGCTCTTAGGACACCAAGGAAGCAGGGTGGATGAGCGTGGGAAGTTCATACGGAGGGCAGCTGCGGGGGCCAGACCTGCAGGGCTACACTTGGATCTGTTGGGCAGGAGACCCTCATGCTTGGCCGTCCTGAGCTGTGAGCTGGTTTGGGAATTTGCTTTCTTTGGGGTTGCTCAGGTGTTCCGGAGGATTCCATTTGCTCCCCTTGATTGGGTGTAATTCCGCGCAGTCTTGTTTTAGTGGTTGCTTCGGGTGTGCTTGGAAGGGAGGTCGAAGGTGCAAGGAGTTCGGAGGAGGGAAGGAGCTTTCTTGGTGGGCAGAGGGCAGTCAGGGCAGGGGCACCGGGCCCAGCACAGACTCAGGGGCCACCAGACAGGAAGCGGTGGTTTGGAGGTCACTGTCTCTCTGACACCCGGACGGTGTGCCCAGCACCCACGCCCCTGTGCTGAGCTGTTGGTGGTCTCTCTTTACCAATGTCGTTGTGAGCGGTTTAAGCGTTCCTGAGCCCTGGCCTCGGCCGGAGCTTGGTGGGAATTTGTCAGACTACAGTCTGAGCCGTCTGCTGCCTGAGCTCACCAGGGTGACTGCAGAGTCCCCGGTCGCCTCTCAGATCTGCGGAATCAAAGGTGTGGTCTGCAGTTGCCACACACGTCTTCCGTAGATTCTCTGGCAAAGTGAAGGAGCTCTGAGCTGCAGGCAGTGGGGTTGGAGGCGTGATGGGGAAAGCATGATTGGGTGACAGCTTCGTCCCGGAGAGTCTGGAGACAGACTCAAGCCCTGTAACCTTCCCAGTGGGCTTGTGACTTTGGATCTTTCAATGTGCAAGAAAAAAAAAGAAACCTGTCTTTTTGTTGCACACTGATCAAAGAGAGAAGTAACACCGATGCCAGCCCGGCCTCTGGTCCCCGAGATATGCTCACAGTCCAGGGCTCTCCCTTGGAGTCTGACGGTCCCAAGAACCCTCTTTCAGCTCCGTAGGCTGCTCTGGAACCCCCTCCCCCCGCCCCAGATTTCTGCTGAGGAAAAGAGCGGGGAGGCCTCAGAGAGACATCCAAGCAGGAAAGATGTGAAAAGCCAAATTTTGGGAGTCCCACTTTTCACTTTTCCAATTGCAAAGGAAGCTAATGTTTTATTTTTTTTAATTACCCTCTAAATTCATGGAATCCATTTAATGCTTATAAAGATTTAATATTTGTTCGTTTTCCTGGACAGGTTGAAGAGAGACCGGACAAAGATTTTGCTGAGAAGGTAAGGAATCATTCAGAAACCTAGAGGGTCCCAGGATTTGTGGGTGAAACTGACAGGAAAATATGTTGCTTGGTCTTGGATAAAGATGTTCCCCAGTGAGTGAACGGGGCGAGGCAGCGGCCCAAGCTGGTGTCACATCCCCCGGGGGCTTCCCCCAGGAGTCCTGTCAGTGCGAGTCATTAGCTCCTGCAGAACGGGGAAGGCGGTCGCCGTGGACCGGGCCGTCTTAAGGTTCATCCAGACAAACCCCAGAGCATCCTCGAGGCCCTGCAAAGGGGACCTGTCGTGCTGCCCGCCGCCCGCCCGCTGGGGGCCTCCCAATTTGGAAGGGGCATTAAAGCGAAGGCGCTATGACATCAGGGTCTGACGTGACTGCGGTTCTGTCTGAAGTCACAGCTGACCCCCATGACATTGCAGGGCTCCCGAGGCATGCCGGGCCTGTCTGCGGCCACGCTGGCCTCCCTGGGGGGGACCTCCTCACGGAGGGGCAGCGGGGACACCTCCATCTCCATGGACACCGAGGCCTCCATTAGGGAAATCAAGGTAAGATGCTCTGCTCACTTAAAAGAGCCTTTTGTGAAAATCATTCTTCTAATTAAAAAAAAAAAGAGAGAGAGATCTGATTCATGAAGTTCTGGAACTTTCTTCTCAGTCACGTTTCCCCCCCTCCCCCGAGTCACGGCATTCTCGTCGTGACACCGAGACCCAGCTCTGATACTGTCTCCTGCAGGAAGCGGCCCCGTGCCCCCCCGCCCAGCAGGCCACACGTAGCGAGATCGCTCACCGAAGCGTGTGCATGTGTGCTGTCATCCGTGTGCCTGGCACATGCGTCGGCCACATTACTTCCTGCTCCCCGCCACACCGAGTGCTGTCACCCAGCCTTGGCCTCTGAGCATCTTCCCCCTCTGCCTAGAACGTGCCCTTGCCTTTCTGTCTGCCACCTGCCCTTAGTAGACCTCACTGTTGTATTTTAATGAGTTTTTTTCTCCCGCTGGAATGTGGTCATTTTCTGTTCCGTCCTTGGCAGCCAGGATGGTGCCGGGCATTTGGTGGCCGTCCCTGTGTGTGAAAGAGACACACGATGCTGTTCCTTAGAGTAACTAGGGACATTGCATCTGAAAAAGAGGAGACTCAGAGGGAAGGTTAGTCTACTAGGACTTCTGTCCTTGGAGGGCAAACCCAGGACAGGGAGCCGAAGGGGGTGAGAGCTGGCGTGTTTGTAACAGCTCTCTAGTATGAGAACTCGGCGCCCACTGGTGATGTCTGAGCTCTGGGTAGCCGTTTGCCCGTGGGCAGAGAGGGGACTTAAGCATCCACCAGAGCTTGCACTGGGTTACCTTGAAGATGCCTTCCAGCTCCTGTGTTTTATCATGAATAAATGAAACCAGAAGAACGGTTTCCCTGTGCTGCCCCTTGGCCTCCTGCAATGATTTGTTTATTCTTTTCCTACACGGAAGTAGAGTTCGCTGCAGCCATGAGTTGTCTCTGCTCTGAGGGCGCCGTGCCCTGCATGTGTTCAGCAGGTGTGCACAGAGTGGGCTAGCTCAGGCCCAGCGCTGTCCGGGCACCGGGAGTTTGGCAAAGTAGAGCCTTGGAGCTCCGTGAATACAGGTGATTTTTACCTCGAGCATCTTCCTGTGTCTTTGCACAGAGGAGGAATTCAGCGTGCTTGAAGGAATCATTCAATATGAGTGGAATAAGCTGTACTGTTTTCAGAAGCTCTTTTGCTTGTTTTTTGGAACTATGTAAAATCACGCAATATACACCTAAATTTTAATCTTTGTAGTATTGAAATTTATTTCATTTTCCTTTAACATTTAATAAAAGCAAAAAGAAAATCAGGTGCTCAAACTACCCAAATGATAGATACTACCCAAAAGTATAAAAGATTTAGGGAATCCCCCTTTTTCCTTAACATCATTTGCCTTTCGTTGCCACTTCCCTCAGGAACTCAGTGAGCTAAAGGACCAGATTGAGGACGTAGAAGGCAGATACATGCAGGGATTGAAAGAGATGAAGGTACCCGTTTATGGAAGTGTGGTCTCACAATATTAACCCAACTTAACTTAAAAAAATCCTGAAGAAGTTCAGAGTGCATGCTTTCTCTAAAGAGACTCCAGATTGTAGAGCTCAAAACGGCTGGAATGCTAGCATGGTTGTGCACTCACCATTTCCCCAAATGCAGTTTTTTGAACCAAGACTTGAAAATAGTAACTCTCAGCTGGGTGCAGTGACTCACGCCTGTAGTCCTACACTGTCGGGGCCTGGGCTCCCCATTTCTACAAAAAATTTAAAAACAAGACAGGCATGGTGGCATGCACCTGTAGTCCCAGCTACTCAGGAGGCTGAGGCAGGAAGATCACTTGAGCCCAGGAGTTTGAGGTTGCAGTGAGCTGTGATGATGCAACTGCACTCTAGCCCGGTCAACAGAGTGTGACCCTGTCTCAAAAAAAAAAAAAAAAAATAGAGAGAATTGTAACTCCCCAATCCAAGGGGGTTAAACTAACACATTCCCCGATGCATGTCTTGTGCTCACCATCCCTTTCTCAGGCCTAAAACCAGTTTCTAATTTCCCATAGGCATGTACCAGGCACTGAAGGAAGGTTTTTTGTTTTCTTCACTTTTTGCAGTAGTTGCTTCATTTGATTTGCTTCTCAAAATACCTGTTGTCTACCAATAAGGCAGTGCTAACATGCCATGCTTCTACAATTCCAGATCATTTGCAATACTGTAACATTTTACTAATTGATTACTAAGTCTGAATGTGTGTCATCCTGAATGTATTTGAGTATACCTAACACACTACTTTTAGAGTGTGGGGTTATTAGTATTTCATCGTGCCAGCCGGGAAGTTTGGGTGCCGTGTCCCTGCAGGTTAAGGTGAGTGAGTGGCCAGCGACTGTCTTCCTCAGGCAGCTACGGCAAATCGCCGCTCTAGCAGTAGACGGCAAATCTGTTTCTTCCTTCTCAGCTCCCCATGAAGGACCTGAGAAATAGTCTGAATTCGGTATCAAAGGACACCAAACAGAGGAGGTGACATAAGTCACATGACTAAGTCATCAGTGTCAGATTTGTCATCTCTCTTTAAAGGCAGAAGAATTAAGACTCTGGCTTTTAATCATATGAGCAAGGAGTTACCGAACCAGCCTAGAACCACTGGCCCCACCCAAGATCGTTGGCTTGGTGTGGCAGTTCAGGGCGAGACCAGCCCTGGTGTCCAGGAAGCCGCCGCTCAGCACCTGCTGTACCTGACCAGGCAGCTGCCACCTCCTTCTTTACCTTTGGGTACTTGGTGCCCAGTGGTTCCAGTCTCTCTCTCTGCTCTCCTGGAGTCGCCTGCCCCTGTTCATGGGCGGGACCCCCAAGGGCGTGAGCCATGTGAGGGCATCACTGTGTTCATTCTGCAGGAGTCTGTCTGTCTTTGGGCCGCCCTTTGGAAGGAATGGCCTTTCTGTTTCCGGGACTTACCCAGTGAGACCTGTGCACTGTGTTTGGTTTTCCTATAGGTCAAAAATCTGAAGTCACTACTAATCCTTTCCTGGTTCATAAGCCAGAACAGGGATGATTGGCGTCGCCTGTGGCCTGTGGCAGATATTTAGTTATAGTAGCCATGACACGCCGGTTCTTTTGCAGTCGTTGGTCACGCGTCTTGAGTGATTGCTTCCGAAACCTGTTGAACAGCCCTCACACGTGGCAACAGGAAGATCCTCTGTGACCACAACTCTTTGCATACCGTGTGTCTCCTTTGTTCTAACGGGTGTATACATTGCTTTCACCCCTAGACAAAGCAACTGATTTTCTCATGATTCCCATGAGTGGTGGGAATTTGATCGAACTGAAAAGAGGAGATTTCTGTGCATTTAAAATTGCCACGTGTTTCTTATTCCAATTTGTATGCTCTAAGAAATATAGTCTAAATTTAGGGCTGAATGTTTTTGTGTGTTTTGTTTTGTTTTGTTTTTTTTTTAAAGAATACTGAACTAATCTTTGTTTTGGTTTTCTTTCTACAATTTCAAAAATATGACCTGCTTCCCGCAGGACTCCCTAGCAGAAGTCGAGGAGAAATATAAGAAGGCCATGGTGTCCAACGCTCAGCTAGACAATGAAAAGACAAACTTCATGTACCAGGTCGACACGCTGAAAGACATGTTGCTGGAACTTGAAGAACAACTGGCTGAATCTAGGCGACAGTATGAAGAGAAAAGCAAAGTAAGCTTTAATATGATAGAGAACGGTGGATTGTGTGTGTATGTATATGTGTGTATATAACATATAATTGATATTACATTATCTGTATGTTTTTAAACAATCATTCTCCGCTTATCCAGGAAACCCAGACATCTGAGAATAAGAATACCATGCTCTTTGCAGAGTGATTTAAAATATCAATATGCATAATTTCAACATGTAAGCTAGAAACCGTTTACCAGGAGAACATTAGTGTTTTACATGTAAGATAAAATTACAACCTTTTCAAAACATTCCTGTGAAAGAGCCAACATGCTTGGATAAGGCACACTCACATGCATCAAGATTTTCTGGTTAATATGTATTTCCTGATTTTTATTTATTTTGTTCTTTCTTAACACCATAGAGAAATAGTTATGAGTATCAAAGGCACAATTATACCATTTAAGAATTAAATACTTTGTGTCCCATCAGCTCTTCAGGTTAATTTTATAGTAAATTATCTGGTATTTTCTACAAAGTCCAGAGGGATGGATTTGTGTTGTTAAAACAAGCCTTGCAGACTCTGACCATGTAGTAGCAGGTGATTTGTTCCGGGGGAAATGTAAATTGTAAGGAAATGAACTAGCAGGACGGGAAAATGTGATTCCACTGCCTCAGTACCGTCTTCCTGCTTTATAGGAATTCGAAAGGGAGAAACATGCCCACAGCACGCTGCAGTTTCAGTTTGCTGAAGTGAAAGAGGCCCTGAAGCAGAGAGAAGAAATGCTTGAGGTAGGTCAAGGTTTCCTGTTTTTCTTTTTCTTTTTTGACTTTGGAGCAATTCCTTGGTTCATGACTGTCTTGGCTTAGGCTACGGTAACAAAATACCATAGCCTACAGGGCTTGGACAACGGAAATTTATTTTCTCACAGTTCTGGAGACTAGAGTCCCCGATCAAGGTCGAGTTCTGGTGAGGCCTCTCTCTTGGCCTGCAGACAGACACCTTCTCGCCGTGTCCTTGCATGGCGGAAGGAGAGCGAGCTCCTGGCGTCCATATGAGGACGCTAATCCTAGCCCTGCCCTTGTGACCTCGTTTAAGCTTAACTATCTCCTAAAGACCCTGTCTCCAAATTCAGTCACTTTGGGCATTAGGGCTTCGCCATATGAATTGGGCGGATGGGTGGTGGGGACACAGTTCAGTCTATAGCGATGTGTAAAGTTATCAGTTCTTTTAAAATGCAGAGTTTAAGCTAATTGTCTATGCCTGATTTAGGGAAAACGGATTCTGTCACTGGTGAAGAGCTTTATTCTTTGGTGGTCGTGTGTTTGTTTTGGGAGGTGTGGTAGACAGGACACCACCACCACCCTGCAACGATGTCCTCATGGTAATCCCTAGAAATCGTAAATATGTCACCTCACATGGTAAAAGGGACTCTGTAAATGTGATTAAATTAAAGACCTGGAAGGGAGGGAGTTAGCCTAGATCAGGCATCCTTAAACTACGGCCCGAGGGCCACGTGCGGGTGTTTCTGCCCGTTTGTTTTTTTACTTCAAAATAAGATATGTGCAGTGTGCACAGGAATTTATTCATAGTTTTTTTTTTTAACTATAGTCCGGCCCTCCAACGGTCTGACGGACAGTGAACTGGCCCCCCATTTAAAAAGTCTGATGACCCCTGGCCTAGATGATCTGGGTGGGCCTGAGGTGGCCACAAGGGCCCTTGCAAGAGGAAGGCAGGTCACAGGCAGAAGCAGGGACGTGGCCAAGGAAGCAGACTCGGGAGTGGGGGACCGGGAGCCGGAGCTCGGCCAGTTCTAGGAGCTGGGACGGCAGGAGGCAGAGCTCGCCGGAGCCTCGGGAAGGGCTTGCTGCTTTTAGCCTGTGAGGCGCATGTTGGCGTCTGACCTCCGGAATCGTGAGGGGGATGCTTGTGTGTCGTTCAAAGCCACTGAATTAGTAGTACTTTGTTAGAGTGGCAATAGGAAACGAATACAGGGTTGCTTTTTAGTGCTTCATCTCAATCTGTACTTTCACTGGTGCCTTGGAATTGAGAATTTCAGGCAAGCAGGTTTTCTTCCTGCACCTGTTAAAGCTGGGAGTAGGTCGAGGGAACAGTCCTAGATGCTGGCAGTGAGCTCGGGGTCATGAGCTAGGGGTCAACCAGGCGACTGTTCCCCGGCTGGCTCCCAGGTCCTCCAGCGCTGGGGCTGCTCTTCCTGCTTAACCCTTTTATCTTCTCTCTTTCTGTCTGTTCCTCTCCTCAGGAAATCCGGCAGCTACAGCAGAAGCAGGCGGGTTATATCAGGGAGATTTCTGACCTTCAGGAAACAATAGAGTGGAAAGACAAAAAGATAGGGGTAGGAGTCTCATGTCTTTGAAAATCTACCCAAACGGGCGGGCTGCTTAGCAAACAGAGCTCTTCCAGAATTTTGGTTTGCAGAAACGCTTGTCTGAGCATGCATGCAACCGCCACGTATCACAACATTTTGTTAATTTGATTAATTGTCATTAATCTGAGGTGTGCAATTAAGTAATGAACACACTAACTTATCCCAATGTGAGCTCAGTATTCCGTGCCGACTTCCGGCATGGGCGTGGCACTCTCGTCCTGAACACCAGGAGCAGGGCTGGTGCTCGGAGGCAGGTCAGGCCCATGGCAGTTCCCAGGCTGGTGGGGCCTGGATTTTCCCTCGAAGGGGTTTGAGGAAGCTGCAAGGGTGCAAGGAAAGGCTGTGCCCCGAGCATTCCCACCTTGAAACCTCCTCCGGGAAGGCCTCCCAGACCCCCCTCCCTCCACAAGAAAAGAGGAGGCAGCCCGCCTGCATTGAGAGTTGAAGAATAGGGAGCACGGAACCCCACACAGGAACTGCTTTGATTTTGGTTTCCCCAGAATAGCGACTCACACACGTGGCTCTGATCAAGACCCAGAGACGCTGGGGCTCGTCTCGCACGCTGACCCCTGCATGTGGTGGCGCCCGAGTTTCCGCTGCGTCAGCCCTGCGTGCATGTGTGTGTGTTTGCTTCGTGCCCACTTTGCACTTATCCGTGGCAACGGATGTATAAAAATAATGATTAGATTGCTAAAATTACCGTTGCCACGTGGGGGTTCTTCAGCATTCCTCTTGTTCTTTGCCGGGCCCCCCGCTCCTATTAACTGTCTGCTGCAGGGCTGTGACCTGCAGGGAGCTAGAAAGTGACGCACACGAAGTGGCTTCCCGTGCCGTGTCTGTGTGCTGGACGATGCCAATTCTTCGGGAAGCATGAACCAGGACGTTTCTTAGATCGCATAAACTAAACGAAAAGCTGCTTAGCGCCTGCCTTGTGTTTGTGCCTTTGAGCAGAGTCTCTCTGATGTCTTAACTCTGCTAGTGTCTAGACAGGAGGAGCCGCTCCCCGTTCCTGCTTCTCACGGCCCCTCTCACCCGCGCCAATCTTCTTTCTCTTTGCTCTTCTGCACGCTCAGGCGCTAGAGAGGCAGAAAGAGTTCTTTGATTCCATAAGGAGTGAACGAGATGATCTTAGAGAAGAAGTAGTCGTGCTGAAAGAGGAATTAAAGGTATGAAGCCAAAGTACGGTTTAAAAAAAAAAAAAAAATCCCGGTGACAACAGCAAATTCTGGGATTCTGTGAATATGTGTGTGTACTGGTGTTAGCTAATTGTGTGCTGTTGATTTTAGTTCTGTTAATAAATTCCAATCTTAGGTTAACTGACACTGACGAGGAATAAGTGCGAATGCAGTTGGTTACGCCTGTGGCCGTTAGATCTTCACAGGCATGGCTGGTCTGGACCACAACTCTGGTTTCCAAGAATTTTTTGATATATCATCTACACTTTTTTCTCGTGCTCATTGATAAATTCTCCAGGCTGTTACTCAGAGTTAGATAGCTTATTTGCTTCTTTATGGAAAGCCTCAAAGGTAAGGACCTCTCTAGCTGACCAGTGTGTCTGGTAAGTGGCGTGGGCGAGCCCCACGCTGATCAGACCTGGAGACCCACTGAGTCACAGGAGGAGGAAAGTTCCATGTCCTGTGTGGGCCCCTGTCAGGGGGTCTTCAGCCACTGGCTTGGTGCAGAGTTAAAAACCGGTGGGCAGCGCTCTGGCCAGGCTCTCAAAGTGCTGCCGTAGGAGGCGCTGTTGAGAGGAGGTGGCCGAATAGTCCCCGAATAGCCCGTGGGAGCCTGTCAGCGTCTCCTGCTTGTCTTCCGGGCTCAGAGCCAGAGCAGTAACCAGCAGAGGACGGGCCTAGAGCTGAGATTCACCGTGCTGCTTCGGAAAAGGCCACGAGCACCGGGGTGGGGATTCCTCGTGCACACGGGAACGAGCAGCAGGCGGCGGGTGAGGGACCCCCGAGTCGGGAAGTGCAGCTGTGTCTAAGTGCTTCTCTCTGTAATGAGCGTGACTTACGTTTCTTTTGAATACGCCAGACATTCCAGCCACCTCTTAATGTCTTCATTCCTTCCAGAACACACACATATTTCTTGTTATCTCACTCCCTCGTTTTAAAGAATGCAAACCAGGGTTTTAAAAGTACAGGTCACTTTACAGTGACTTGCTGAAGTTCCACTTTGTGGCTGCCCCAAGGCCAAAAGGATGCCTGGCCAGGCTTGGTGGCTCACGCCTGTCATCCCAACACTATGGGAGGCCAAGGTTGGAGGGTCGCTTGAGCTCAGGAGTTTGAGACCAGCCTGAGCAAGAGCGAGACCCCATCTCTACAAAAAGTGGAAAAATCAGCCAGGCATGATGGCATGAGCCTATAATCCCAGCTACTTGGGAGGCTGAGACAGGAGGATCGCTTGAGCCCAGGAGTTTGAGGTTCCAGTGAGCTAGGCTGACGCCACCATATTCTACCTGGGGCGACAGAGTGGTCCCTTTGTCTCCAAAATAAATAAGTAAATAGGATGCCTGTTGGAAGCATCTTGTCACCAGCAAATTGAGGCATGAATTGGAACATCTAAGAAAGAAGTCGCCTTTGGAGGAAGGCATTGCAGATTTGTGTGTGTTGATAGAGTATCTATGAGCGGGATGCCTTAGCACTTCTCTGTCTCTGTAGAGTTGTCCTCTACTTCAGGAAAAATAGTTTCCTCTTTTGTTATAAACAAAAGTAATAAAACAAGAGTTTAACCTGATGTCACTGAGGATTACGGCGAGCCTATTTTTGTTCCCAGAAACACGGAATAATCCTAAATTCAGAAATAGCTACCAACGGAGAGACTTCAGACACTCTAAATAACATCGGACACCAAGCTCCTACCAAGATCACAAAGGAGGAGTTAAATGCCCTCAAGTCGGCAGCGGACGGGACGCTAGGTAAGTATGTGTTTTCCTTTGGGTCCTCTCATCTCCCAAGCCAGCATTGGTTCACCTTCACCCATCACGGGAGTTGCAGTAATCACCACTGATCGATTAACAGTCACTCAGCATGCCATCTGTCTCCACGCCGCGTAGCCATCCCCACCGTGTGGCATGACCGCCCGCGTGTTGTCTGGCGTGCATCTCTGTGCCGTGCTCACCACCAGTGGCTCGGGGGTGCGCCCCTTTTGCTTCCCCAAGCTACCACGCGAGGCAGCGAGTGCACCTCAAAATGAAGTGCCAGTGTCGAGAGCACTATTTGGGTTTCCCCGGATACGTGCCGAGTGTGGCCTTTTAGCTTACTCTATTGGAGAAGCGTCAGAAGACGAGGACAGTGGAGGCCGTGCAGGAGGTTAGCTGGCCATACCTGCGAGCCAGCGCTGTGCGTCTGCAGCACTCTGCGTTCTGGGGGTGCGGGGTGGCCGGGCGCCCCAGGCGGGGGTGCTGGTGACAGGGCACAGCTTCCTTCCCAGCCCTTCTCCAGCCGGCCCTGGAGGGGCGCAGGCAGCCTGGGCGGTGGGGGTGGCCGTGCGTGGAGGGGGTGCCCTCCCCCCAGAGTCTGAACCCGCCCTCCTCGGTCAGCGGCGGCCCTCCCTCAAGGGTGTGCCACCTTTAGCTTCTGAAAGAACATAAAACCGGGGAATCTGACAGATCGTAGGAATATTTTGTGAAATTTTCAAAGACTCACTGATTAATATGTGTTGTAGTATTTGGCTTTGGGGAAAACCTTCAGATTTTTGTGCGCAGCCTCAGGCCGTCGTCTGTCGATACGGCCTCACCGGTCGCTGCTCACCAGTTGTGCTCCAGCCCTTCACGGCGGGGCTGGAATAAGTCAGGGCCCAGGCCTTTTAATTTTGATTTAGAAGCTTTCATCTTACTGCTTTTCTATTTATGGAAATGTGGAACCCTTAGGTCCTGGCTTCTCGGGGCTTGCTTCCTGGGGAGGTCACTCATTTATTGTCTTTATGGCTGTTGCAGAAACACAGCTCTTGTAAATTGTGTGAGAGTTATTGAAAAAGATAATTAACTTGTGTCATATCTTTATATTAGCTCCCTGAACTGCTAGGAATTTGATCATGCTGCTCTTACTCAAATACGCATTTTGCAAATCCTTGATAACCATGGTGAAACACTTAAGGAACCAGAAATAATCAGTTTTGTAAGTGGTCTCCAAATGTTTTTTGATCACATATCTTATCAGTGAAGAATTGTGGGAACTTCTCAATATATATACATTTATTTTTAATTTATAGATGTATGCTATTTCATTAATAGGAAATGTACACTATAAAACATATGCATAGACATTGTTAAAGGGTGAAGTAAAACTAACTCTCAACAGAAGCCCTAATAGGTGCCCCCATTTACCCCAGGGTAAGTGCACCCACCACTGAGACTGCTGGTTATAAACTTATCTGGCCTTGACTTTCAGTATCATGGCACTATATCTAATATGCTAGGATTTTATTTGGAGAATCCGAAATATAACTGTTCATTCCAAAGCAGTAATTGCGTTCTTTAACTGATGACCAGTTTATTATCTAATTAAGTGGTCACTTGAACTTAAGCACTTGCCCCCTATTGGTCCCCTGCCCGGTCCCTTGGGGAGCAGTAGCAGGGCACAGACGGGGGGTTTTCTCAGAAAGACCGTGGTTGGGCGGTAGAAGATAGATGTCTTTTCCCTGTACGAGCTATTTCAAAAGTTGTCTTCTCGAGACTGACCTTGAGGCTGAGTTTCTGAAAGTGAACCGAATGTTCTTTTGAAAAAACTATTGGAAAGCTGCGGTGAGGTGCGCAGCGCGGTTTGGTAGCTGAGAAAGCGTGAGTTGTCAAGTTGTGCGTTTAGAAAGGAGAACAGGGAACATGAACCTTCAGTCTGTTCTGAGACCCAGCGTTTTGGATCGTGTGGCTGCCTGATCCAGAGCTCGTTCTAGTTGTTAAAACTTAACATTGCTTTAAAAAAATCTGTCCACACAAGACAGCACCAGCAGCCACCCTTGCCTTTGCGATGGTGGCCTGGTGGCCTCTACGATGGTGGCCTAGTGGTCTCTACGATGGTGGCCTGGTGGCCCCTACAGTGGTGGCCTGGTGGCCCCTGCAGTGGTGGCCTGGTGGTCTCTACGATGGCAACCTGGTGGCCCCTGCGATGGTGGCCCCTGTGGTGGGGGCCTGGTGGCCCCTGCGGTGGGGGCCTGGTGGCCCCTGCAATGGTGGCCCCTGCGGTGGTGGCCTGGTGGCCTCTGCAATGGGGGCCTGGTGGCCTCTGCGGTGGGGGCCTGGTGGCCTCTGCTGATCGGAAACTCACTGGCGCAGCTGCTGCTTTGCCGCACGGCACTGGCGAAGGCTTCCGTGTCGCGGGGCTCTCGGGGCCTCCCTGTCTCCGGGAGTCGGGCGGGGTGGGGCTTAGAACACGTTTTTACGTTTTAATGTATGTTAAGTGGCTCACCACATCGTGGGGTCCCCTCAACTTTCTTAATGGTCTTCTAGGAAGAGCCCGGGAAGCGGAGGTGAAAAAGGAAGTGGTGGAGAAGGTGGGGAAAGGAGCCGTGCTGCAGGATGCGGACAAAGAGCAGCACGCGGAGGACCCGGCAGAGCGCCATGCGCACGCAGAGGCGCACCCCGGCGGCCGCGCCGAGGACCGGAGAGCCTCTGATGGCGACAGAGCGCCCTCCCCGGGAACCTCAGCGGGCGCTGGACGCGAGGAGCAGGCGCAGAGCCACAGTCCAGGGGGCACCCCGCTCCTGGGAGGCAGCGCAGGGCAGGGCAGGGGGCACGGGGGCGCGCCCGTGCCGGACGGCAGCGCCGGGGCTTTCCCCAGCCGCCGCTGGGGCGATTTAGGCGGTGAAGTCCCGGGCCCTAGGAGCGGGCAGGGCAGTTGTAGCGACGCCCTGGACATCGAAAACCACAGCAAGGAATCTGCGGAAAAGCAGGAAAAAGGAAAACAAGAGGATTCCAAAAGCGACTCGGAAGAGGTTAGCGCGGAGCCGTGTCGGGAGTCCGCTCCGCCGCCGCCGTCGGAAATGGAAACCGGGGGAGGCGCGGACTCCGGTGGGCAAAGCGCGAGCCACGCAGAGAACGAGGCCCGGGCAGGGGACGCCCAGGGTGGGCAGCGGCAGGGCGCACTGTGCCATGGGGAGCCGCGTGCGGGCGCTGCCCCCGAGGACGGGGAGCCAAGCGGGGGATGCAGTTTAGAGAAAGAAGGGACCGGCCAGGAAGCGGCGGGGCCCCAGGCGGCCCCGGTGCAGGGCACGGAAGCAGGTAGGGAGGGCGGCGAGGAGGAGAGCGAGGAAGCAGGGCTCGCGGGTGGGAAACCAGTCGAGGCAGGTGTCCGGAACGGTCCTGGCTCTCCAGCGGCCAAGAGCCACCACCAGGAGGCCGCAGGCCCACGCGTGGTCGCCGCGGAGCGTGACGCCCTAGACACGGGAGAGCCCAGGGAGGAGAAGAGGGACCAGCAAGCGGTGGCCTTGGAGTCGTCACCAAGGAAGGCAAAGAACAAGAAAAAGAAAAACAAGAAGAAAAAATCACCAGGACCCGCAGAAACCCTCAAGGGTGTTGGGGACGAGGTGACACTCCAGAGCACAGACGTCAGCGAAGCTAAGGAGGAAGAGCAGGTGGCAGTCACTGACGGGGAGTCCGGCGTGGAAGCTCTAGACCAGGCGGCCGAAAATCCAAAGCAGAGTGTTGTAGCAGAAAGCGGCGAAAGTGCCGATCGTCCAGAAAACCCTGAAAGTGAGTTGGATGGAAAACGTAACCAAGAAGCAGTAAAAACACAGGCAGGGAAAGTAACAGCCGGTGGAGACACGCAGGAGTTTGAAGGTGACCCAGCTCACTGCTCAGGCACCAGCGTTAGTGGTAAAGAACAAGATGAGGATGTCAGTAAGAGTAACGCTGAGAAAGACGGTGCCACCCAAGGCGGCGCCCCGGAACCGGGAAAGGACGCAGTCCCCGGCTGCAGCCCGCTTGGAAATCATTGGAGTCCCGCGGAGGCCGTGAACGACCAAACAGGCAGGGCAGGGGGCCAGGCGGTGCCAGGACACCCCGGCCAGAGAGCGGAGGACGCTCCAGACAGCGCTAGTCTGGACAGCGAGGCCACACCGGCCCCAGCGGGAGAGGCGGGGGGCTTGGATTCCGACAGCAGCGAGGACGCGAAAAGAGGGGGCGAGAAGGGGAGAGGCAAGGAAGACTGCACCATGTCCTGAGCGGAGGCCACCGCAGAGGAGGCAGGACGTGAGGCCGAGCTGTAGAGAGGGGCCGGGACTCTGCACGGTGAGTCTAATCGGAGGAGGCTCTCGCCTGTCATCTCCCCTGGCGGCGCAGGTAGAGCGTTCTAGGCTCATCCAGATGCACTGTAGACATCGATCATCCGGTCCCCTGATGCTCCACGGCGTAGACCGCTGCTTGAAGGTTTATATTTAATCATTGACGGAGTCACCCAGGTTAGAAAAGAAGACACGTCTGTTATCACTGTAATTTCTATGGGAGAGCATTCCAGTAGTACCAAACAATAATGTATACTGTGTATAGTCCAGCTTAAAATGAAATAAAGAATATTGAACAGTTGCCTTAGGCTGATATGAATGTGGCCATTCTTGACCAAACACATCAGCTTCTCACCGAAATGACCAAATAGCATTCATAGATTTCTGTGTTAGGAGTGCCATTGATATTTAAATTAATGCCTCCTTCTTATATGTGTACTTTCATACTTGATTTTAGTATATGCATTGTAACCTGCATGGCATTGTATTTAAAGGAAATAAACACCCAAATAGCAAATAGGTCACTGAGTGATAAGAGTTGCACCTTAAGGACAAAAAATTAATCATTTTAGGGTTAACAATATCTCAAAGCATAAGGAGACTCTTATTTTCCTTTACCTCATGTAAATCTTTTATCTCAAATCACTGCTTTTGGATCTCACTGTTTATGATACCTGAATTTACTCTGTAGGAGACTTTGACTTCACTTCATGCTACTGTGTACCAAATTCAATTTATACTAAGATTTCTTTAAAAAACTTTTTTATGCAAGTGGCATGTGTTGAAATTTCATTTCCTACAGCAGTATTTGGGCAGGGGAGTCATTAAAAAATGTTTTTGGACCTTAAAAATCACTTCTCTTTCTGTTTGAGTGTCTAAGCATTATGCAAGAGAGCAATATAAAAGGTTACTTCTTGTGCAAACTACTAGTTAGACTCTAATAAGATATTTTAAAGAGTTGAATCACTTTTGGTATTTCGGTATAAATATTTTCATTTATTGTTTCTCAGCATATTGTTATTGGAAAGTTCTTGTTTTGATCTGCCTGAAGAAAAAATATATTTTCTATATAAAGAAGCATTTAAATATAATTATAAAGGTAGATTTAAAAAATTGTGACATATGAAATCACAAAGAAATGTATGTTATAAATGTTGTTGACACTTTATGAGATTATGTGGGTTCATATTACTGTTACAAGATATCATTGAATGCAAAAAAGACCAAAGCCTCAGTAAAAGTTGAGGCAAACTATAAGTGTTAACTGTGTAATTGAAATAAACACATTTTATAATTTTACAAGCCTGTGGTCCCACTCTTTGGGTGAGCTGAATTCCGATGCTGGCGACCGTTTTACGTGATGACCACCTTCAAGGCTGTCTGCTTCCGGGTTGCTGACTCCCGCTGGGGTCCTGGGGGAGACCCACGCCTGGTGACCTTTGTCAGTCATGAGTGGACGTCTCTCGGCGTCCAGCCTGGTGCTGGCCTGGGGGTGCTTGCGAGAGGGAGAGCTCGTCCCTGGCATCCTCCTCCCCTGTCGTCTGCGGTTCTGACAGGGAACCCGGGCGAGCAAGGTCTCCATTCTGTTGCTCTGCTTAAGTGTGCCGATCCCGGGAACGTTTGAAGAGTAGGTGAAAGCGGCAGAAACGTTGACCGTTTCCACTTAAGTGTCCCCGAAGTGGAGGACGGTGGGGACGACAGAGAAATCCGAGGCTTGCCGGAGGATCACGTCAAAGAAAGGCTGTACAGGGCGTTGAAGGGTTTCAGTGTGGGGCTCTCACTTCGGCAAGGCCGCGTTCCTGCTGGCATGCACGTTGGGAAACAGCTCTGGCCTCTGCGCTTGCAGGCCCCCGGGGCAGCAGTGCAACACCACAGTCGCTAAATGCTGGGGTCATCAGAGCGTTTTAAGTTCTTTCCTTTCTTTCCCATGTTATTCCACGGCCCCGTTCAGCACAGCGGGCACACTTGGCACCCTCAGTCCAGCCGTCCGGCAGCCTCGACTGTCCACTCACCCGTCCCCTTAATTGCCACACAGTTTTGGTCACTCTGCACGTGGAGAGCAGGTGCCGGGAACGCACAGGGAGGACTCGGCCCACTGAGGGGTGGGTGCGGGCGTCCTGGACAGCTGGGAGTCAGAGCAGGAGCGAAGAGGAAGGAAGGAAAGACGCTGAACAGCCAAACGTGTTTATTGGTCGTTCCGGAGCCTTCCTCGTGAACGCCAGTTACTCCGCCCTGAGCGTGGGATGGCTTCAGAGCCCGGAGCGGTAACCGATATTCACAGCGAAGGCCCTTAAATCGTCAAAAAATGGTTCACTTAGGTATAGTCAGTTTAAGAAGGCAGGGAAATATGTTTGAAAGGTTTCAATGTCGAAAGATTCAAATCAGAAAGGAATTGAAAAGTTACCAGCCAGCTGTATCCCTAGAGCAACCCAGACCGCTGAGGGTCACTGTCACACACGACAGAGGACAGCGTCCATCGGTGACACCTGACATCGAAAAGCTTGGGTAGCGTTCAGCCCCAGACCGGAGCACAGGTGCTGTGTGCAGGTGTAAATCTTGCCTCAAAGGTATGATTAATTATAATTAGGGGTGCATGTAGAAAATAGGGGAGGACAGATTTCTGAATTATAGGTCGTTACAGTAGACAAAGGTTCAGAGAGCAGTAAAATGTTTAAAGTTTCAAAGAATGAGATGCAGGGCGTTGACTACTTTCTGTAATTCTCAGTGTTGGCAGTTAACGGAAGACCTAATGCCCATGTAAATTCCCACCATCGCGAGGACCCTGGGATGCTAATTCTGGGGCACAGGCGGTTCGGGCTTGGTGTTTTCTGTCGACAGCCTCCTTTCCTGGAAGACCAACCACGTGTGCAGCCTGCCACGCAGCCACGGAGCCCAGGGAACGCCCCAGTGAGGCTCGTTCCAACGTCCCGGCCCCTGAAGGAAAGAGGGCTGTGTGTGTGTGTGTGTCTGTCTGTCTGTCTGTTGTGTTCAGAATATGGACTCGTGCAGAGTGATGATCATGTATACAGAAAAGTTTGTTTTTCAAGAGGAACATCCTTCTGCTCTTTCTCTTCCTTGTCTCTCTTACTGACGCAGGGATGTATGTCCTAACTCTGCAGTCCCCTGGGCCCTGGAAATAGGAGAACAAGCCGAGCGGCCGGAGCCGCGCCAGTTCTGCCTTTTGCAGGAAGGGGCTGCAGTCCTGGCGGGAGGCCGGGCTCAGGCAGGTGAAAACCGCGGCAGGCAGGAGCTACAGTCAGACTAAGTGGGCGTGAGGAGGGGTGAGAAGAACCGCATCCAGCGCGTTTGTCGAGAGACCTTGGTCCCTCCTCAGTCCTCCTCATCCTCCTTTGTCACCTTTGCAAATACAGAGGGGAGGTGACTCTCCTGGGCCGTGGGAGGAGGAGCCCCGGCCGGTGATGGCTGAAATCAACCCCAGAATTGGCAACGTGCTCTTGGCAATGCATTACTAGGAGCAGTCTGCTTAGCCTCGCCGTGCCTTGTTTCGAGAGTGGGGTGAGGCCCGCCTTTTAGGGTGTGGGGAGGCCGGATCCCGCACTTCACAGGCGCTGTCGGTCGGCCTTGCCCTGGCCCGGACAGGCCAGCGGGCGACGGGGAGGCCGAAAGAACGGCCAGGGAGCACGGGAGCTCGCAGAATCCCAGCACCTGTTTGGCTACCCCGGGAATTTTCTAGGTCTTACCTCTTTGTTTCCCATTTTATGGGTCTCTAAAATATGCATACCAGAAAGTTTGTTGAGACTTAATGTATGACAACCAGGTTTTTAAAATTATAATCCTTTGACAGTGTTACTAAAATACCTTTAATGGCCAACGGACTTCCCAGTATAAAAGAACATCCTAAACTGGGGACAAGGTGGCTTCATCTCTTTTGATGCCTCGTTTCATAAAACTAGAATGACTGTCTTCATGTTTTCATGTGTTTATAATTGGATGCCACAGACCAGTGATGAGCAACGCTGTTTACGAGTAAATACAGGGCACTACTAGGTTTCCAGTATTCTTGCTAAGTAGTATCACAATAAGTGCATCAAGGAATGTGCTCTCTTCACTCAGCAATGAGATGTGTTGGTTTTTAAAGCTACGAAAAGCCGTACTCCACGTTTCTTCATATCAAATTTATTTTGCTTCATTCTTTTCTCATTTTCTTAAAATTATTTAGTTGTCATTTTCTTCTCCAGTCCTGCTTTAAAATTTCTGTTCCTTAACAGTTTTATCTCTCTGTTTTTTATATTCTCACTGTAAGACCGAAGGTCAAATTATCTTCATTTTTTTGCTAGCACTCATTACATCTTAACACCACCAATCTGGAATATTTGATATGTCTTCTAATAGAAAAATATAATAAAATTGTACAATAAATATAAGAGCTTCAAGATCATGTTCTAATGTATTCAGTGTTTCTTATGATGCCTGTAGTTTTTGTATGTGGGAGGATAAAATAAAAAGTGATATTGGATAAAAGAGCTAGGTTTATAAGCACATAAATGTTTTGTTTCAGCGTGGGTGAGTTTATGGACAGGAAAGAATAAGACATCTGTCAGAAGCAATCTGTCTGTAAATGAAAATGGAACTCAAAAGGATCATAAATTTAATTCACCTTATATTATGCTCAACATTTTGTGGTGTCCTATTTTGTCACTGTGCCTTTCAAAATAACAGGAGAAACAAAGAAAGATGTAACTTGGGTTATAATGTGACTAGACGATTTTCTTAAGTGGAAACAAAGATACATTTCATGTGAGTTATTTTTTCTGATCACATGGCTAACCAAGGTTAGTGTTTTACTCTGAAGAATTTGGAGCTAGGTATTGTGAGCTCAGTGTCTTCTCTGGAGTAAGAGTCCTGGGCCAGAAGTCACACCTGACAGAAGCGGACTCAGGTGTGAGTTTAGATCTGGAAAAACAGTGGCGTGCCGCGGTTGGGGCTGTGCCCTGCTGCGGGGCTGGGAGGCCTCAGGAAGGTTGTGTGATCACTCTGGGCCTCCGTTATTCCTCCTCTGTAGAACTAGGAGGATGTAATGACAGCCCACCCCATAGGGCTTCCCACGTTGAAACGAGCTTATGGCGTCAAAGCTGTGTCACAGAGGAAGTGTGCAAAACACGTTGTCTTCACTGTCATCGTCCCATCATCCTGATTTTGCCTTTACACTGGTGTGGGATTTTACCCAAACCCCCAAACTCTCCCAGGCCTCGGTTTCCTCCTCTGAATCTGAAGATTATAGTGCTCCACGCCCCGCCAGAGAGATGTTTGGGGAATTTAGAGACACTTTAAGGTACACGCATCTTCATTTATCTGTGGTGGGAGGAATGACAGACACCTAAGCCATCACTGCATTTTTCCTCGAAAGAATAGCAGCTTTTGGTAACTGGGTTAGCAGACGTGTTGCCAGTGGACTTGGGGTTCACAAACATGTGGTCGGAAGTCTGACACTGATGAGTCTAGGAGAGAAACGAGAAAGATAAACACGTCTGCTGGGACGTAAACTCGGAAAGGCGAGGATGATTAAAATGTTGGTGCCCATTGAACCGCAATTATCGGTGTGTTTCTAACGATCATTGCTAACGATGTTAAACCATGAAGCCTCTGAGATCTTGTGTTGCAGTGTGGCTTGGCCCTAGAGTTCTTGCATGCTAACCTAAGGTAGAAGATTAGCCTGTTTGCATGCAGCCGGAAGCTGCTCCCGACGTGAAGCATGTTCTGGGCGGTTGACCCAGCCCCCCTTGGCTGAATCCTCCCCCAGTCCTGTCTGTGGCCTCATCCACCATGGTACGTGTGCATAACTACCTTCATCATTCCTTTCACTAACCTGAACAGTCATTCTTCAATTTAGCCGTGTGCTGAAAGGTGCAGTACACAGATTCACCTAAACCTGTATCTTTCTGATTTCTTTAGATACTAGGTTGAAAAAGCTTGTCGATGAGCGGGAATGCTTATTGGAACAGGTAACAATCTTTTTTATTACTTTATGGGGTTCTTGGACAGGGCACCTGAAACCGCCTTCCCATCCTTATTGTTTGCTTACTCAGAAAACCCCTCTGTGTATCATGCCTGAAAATAATTACCAAGCCAACTGGTGGTCTTAATATTTTTATGCAAATAGAACATCGTAAGTCATAGGAGGTTTCATGAGGATGTCTCAGACTCACAGCCAGGGAACCGAACGTGGTATATGCTACCCAAGTGCTGCCTAAAATAAACATTAGTGTAAAAGACCTAAGTGGCAGGGGTATTACTAAGTCATTCCAAAGACCACTTCTCTTAACGTCTGCTTGTCATAACACCAGTTTTGTACTTGCCCAGTGACTCTTCCTGGCAGGCATGTCTCTATGACAGCTGATCACAGGTGTTTTAACTGTGGTTTACCTCCACTGCTCTCACCTACCCCAAGGAATACTAAACAGTTGATCTTTTTTTTTTTTTTTCATGGAGGATATTTATTAAATCATTCCATAACAACTTTCTAAAGAAACTCAATTCTTCTAATTTCCCCTCATGAGCCTAATTGAGTGTATCTGACTCACTTTTTACAATTGTGTTGAAGATTCTGTCCATTGGGTTAAAGCACTAAACACAGTGGGAGGATTCTCTTGAACTCCCTGTGGTCTTTTAAAAACATGTATCCATTGGAATTCCGTACTTACGTCCTTATAGCAGCACGCACTGATGGTTTTATTTAATTCGGGGTCTCCCAGGCCACACCAGCCACCTCGGAAAGACTGTATTTGTGCTCTCTTAGAGAGAGGAGAGCTGTGCAGAGACCGTCTTCCTGAAGGCTGAAACCCGCCCGAGCTCCCCTGCAGCGCCGCGGTTCTGTGGGAAAGCGCACGGAGAGCTTTAACTTTGCTGGGCATTTAGTTAAGATACAGCTGAGCCCAGAAGGCTCCGAGGCGGGGCCCTTTCTGGTTTCTCGGTGGATAAAGTTTAATAGCGCCCTGACTTGCTAACCCATAAACATGTAAAAGTATTTTATGTACAGTCTCCTCCTGAGTCAAGAGGGATTCCAACTTTAGAAATGACTTTTCACCCAGAAATGCACAAAATAACTCAGGGCTGGTGTTGTAAAAATCGCTTACCTTTCTTCCCGAGAAGAGCACTAAGCTGGCAGAGGTTTTTTGTTTGTTTGAGTTGGTTTCTTTATGAAAGGGGCGGGATTCGCCATGCGGCTGGTGGGCTGCAGGGCGGGCTGTAACCCTCACTACGAGCCCCGTCCCTCTGGCACCCGGGAGCCGCACCCGGGACTGCAAGGCAGTGGGCAGCTGCGCCGCGGGTGTCGGGACTGCAAGGCAGTGGGCAGCTGCACCGCGGGTGTCGGGACTGCAGGGCAGCGGGCAGCTGCACTTCAGGGTGTCGGGACTGCAGGGCAGCGGGCAGCTGCGCCGCGGGTGTCGGGACTGCAGGGCAGCGGGCAGCTGCGCCGCGGGTGTCGGGACTGCAGGGCAGCGGGCAGCTGCACCGAGGGTGTCGGGACTGCAGGGCAGCGGGCAGCTGCGCCGCGGGTGTCGGTTTTTGCCTGACATGCCGCTTCCCTTCTCCCAGGCTCTAAGCGCAGCTGTTGTCAGTCTCGTTTAGGGTAGCGAAGTTAACGTGTCTCGCCGGTGGGTGCTTTCAGGTTAAGAGACTCAAGCGGCAGCTGGAGGAGAGACAGAAGAACGGCAAGCTAGACGGTGTCCGGGCGGAAGAGGATGTCCTAGAAAACGGGACGGACGTGCACGTACTGGATCTGCAAAGTGAGTGTCGGTTCTCGTGCGGGCGCGAACTCCCTCGCACGTGCCGTTTGCGCTGGACTCGTGCTGGAGGAGAAAAACTGCCCTGGCAAAGAGCACCCAGCATTCCCCTGGGTCCCCCAAAAGCCCTTGAATACGGGAGCACGGAGACGTTCCTCTGTGGGACAGAACAGGGACGGGTCGGTGGGCAGAACAAAGGCGTTTCTCTGAGGGCCCATCGGTTAGAACAGGGGCCCAGAAGTGCGCGCCAAGAGACCACCGTATGACGCGCTGGTAGAAACCGCGTTTATTTTACTGGATACAGCAGGGTTTTGATCTGCCGGTTGCATTAAAAAATTGGAAGGTATTTTTTTATATTTTTTTAATGCCAATAAAGTAGAAACAGGCTTAAGGGAGGTAAAATTATGCCCAGTCTCTCTCCTCGCTTCCCCCAGCCCCAGCATCTCTTTGTCTTCTTCACCCACAGGTGCTCTCTTGCCTGGGGTTTCCTGCCCCTTGCCTGGGATGTGAAGGCACGTTCCCAGCCTGGGTTCACGGAGAGGCGGGGGGGGGGGTTGGTTGGAGGAGTAGGGGGAGAGAGTGAGCCTTCTTCTGTTTCCACTCGGGCAAGCGTGCAGGCGTGGGCCAGAACTAAAAGGTTTTTGAGATGATTATAAAGTAAGGGCTTGGTTCCCAGTGACTACTGTTTTAGCATTTTAAAAGCCCAAGAGCTTAACGAATTTTCCTTCTCTTTCAACCTTCAAGGGGATGCCAACAGACAGATCAGCGACCTCAAATTTAAACTTGCAAAATCGGAGCAAGAGATAACCGCATTAGAACAAAATGTACGTGCACCCTTTCCAAGCACTAACGGGCAGCTACGCTGATGACTCACTGAAGTTTTCCTTGCTGGAAATAGCCCTGAAAGGCTGAGGACAATGGGAAGCAGAGATTTTTTTTGAACCAAAAAAAGATCCTGAGGGGAGTACGTTGAGACAGCAAGTCTTTCGAAGTGTTTCTTACAGAAAGAACAAGTAGGAAGGAAAGATAATTATCAGGATTCAGGTAGTTATAATAGATACTAATCCATTATGAACAACAGTTAGTTGTAGAAAGTAGCTAGTGTGGCTTGAGAGAGTTTTAAATTTTGTTTTTTAAAAATAGCTTAGTGAATTAAAAAGCACTTCATGCTAGAACATCCATCCATCTTCCCTGGGTTTCTCTCCTGGCCAGGCCAGCTCTCCCTGGGGTCTAGACCAGGGCCCTCCTGCCTTAGCATGTTGGTCCCGGGGCAATTTGTTCAGGCCAAAGAGAGGGGGGAAAACAGCTGCTGTTTCACGCTCAGGTGTGGGTAGACAGGGCTGGAACTTTTGGGGACTTCTATAGAAACAGAAATGAGAACAGTGCACCTAGAAATGATGAGTTTTACAAAGCACGCTTTTGGTCGCAAGAGCATCAGCGTGTGCGGCAGAGCTGTGCCCTCTCAGAGCCCTGACTGGGCGATGCCCTGCCCACGCCCCTCCTCTCGGTCCTCGCCTGCCCGCCCCTGCGTCCCACCCACCACCCCACGGAGACGGCAGACCGGAGCTGAGGGCCTGGCAGAACCTCTGCATTGTTCTGCCTCGACCTCCCGTCTCCAATAGAGTAATCGCAAAAGAGAGACAGAGCCAGTGCAGCTGGGCGCCAGCACCATGGGGGCCACCCTGTGGGTGGGGGGGTCAGGGAAACGAGTCCTCGTCAGGGTCGTGGGGGGCCACTCAGAAATATGAGCAGATAACTTGTGCATATTCCAAAATGTCACATCATACTTCTTTTCTTTGCAGGGTGTGTTCATGGCATCTATTAGACCACACCCTTTGATCTCAGATCACATAAAGCAATCGAAGACAGGAAGCAGGCTTGTCGATTGATACCTGTGGTTCTTCCCTCCCTTTCTAGGTAATAAGGTTAGAGAGTCAAGTAGCACGTTATAAATCGGCTGCTGAAAATGCAGAAAAAGTAGAAGACGAACTTAAGGCTGAAAAGCGGAAACTGCAAAGAGAGGTAAATTTCTTAGGCCATTTCTAGGGAAAGGACGGCTAATAAATGTCCCCCTAGTTGGGACAGGAGAGGAAGGAATCGATATAGTTAAAACTGCCACGGGGCTATGTGGTGGGGGTGGGCGTAGCTTGGGGCAGTCATTGGCATCACGGAGTTCCACCGTCAGGTTCGAGGGTCTCCTACAGGCCCGGCCGTAAACACTCAGTATGTGAGATGAAGCAGTGGCCGGGCCTCTCTGCTCTGTATGTTTTGTCGTGCGGGGCCAGCCTGGGTGAGGACCAGGAGAAGTGGGCCCGCCATGGCCGAGGGCCAGGTGCTGGTGCAGGGTGAGACCAGGACTAAGTGTCCTTGGGAAGCTGAGCTCTCAGGCCACCTGCTGGTCACACTCACAAATGACTGTACTTCCAATCTTTTTTTTTTTTTAATTACACACATCTCACCTTACTAAGGACACTTGGCACAGCTGTGCATTCAGCAAATATTGACAGCACCTACTGGGTGCCGGCACGGGTCTGGGTACTGGGGACAAGGTCCCTGCCTTCTTAGAGCCAACACTCTGGAGGGTAGAGGTCAAAACAAAAGTGCCCATGTGCAGGAAAGGGGCTGGGGCGTGGTAATGGCTCAGGCCAGGGGCCGTTGCAAGTAGGTGGCCAAGGCCACGGGAGACTTTCCTTCTGGTGATGTCTAAGGACAGGCCTGAAGCTGGCCAGGGAGTGAGTCACGTGGGACTGGGAGGCAGCCCTTCCACGCCAAGCAGCGAGCACACGCACAGCTGGTTTCTGGCGCAGCAGGCTGGGCGGCTCAGGCTGCTGTGCGTTCAGACCCGAGGACAGGGAGACCGCAGGGGACCCTTGAGACGGCCGATCTCACACAGGCGGGGGCAGTGGGGGCGTGTGCAAACATGCACTCTCTCTCCTCTTTAAAAATCTTTCTTCACCCCTGTGCCCTCTGCCTGTGCCACCTCAGTCCGTATCCCCTTAATAGCCAAGGGGTGACCCCCTGGACTCAGAGCCTAGGTCCCTCCTTTCCCCGAGGTCCACCCCACTCACCTGTTCTAGTGGAGTCACCTTCCCAAAGGTGCCCGGTGGCCGTTCCTCATGTCCGCCTTACCTCGTGCGTCCCTTGCGGGCGTTTGACCCCACCGACCAAATGCCCCTCCCCTTCACACTCCCCTGCCCTCGAAGTAGCACTGCCGCTGCATCCTGCACATGTTGATGAAGGCTGCTGCTGTTATCATATTCCAAGTATTTCCAGATTTCCGTTATGCTTTGTATTAACATTTTAACCCGTGAGTTATTTAGAAATAGGCTTTTTAAAAAACACAGGGTTTTTTTTTTTTCTCATTTAACTTTCTAGCCTCATTTTGCTGTGTCAGAGAACTCGGTCTTTATTACACCTGGTCTTCGAGATGTGTTAGCACTTGCTTGGCGACCTGGTACGTGGCCGATTTCTGTGAGTGCCCCGGGTGTGCTTAGGAAGATGTGGCGGCTCCCGTCTGTGGACGCAGAACTCTGTGTCCCCCGCCGCGAAGCTCGTGCGGCGCGTTCAGACCGAGTCCTTGTGTCTGCTGAAACTCAGCAGCCGGGGAGACCTGCCGCACTCCGCCAATAGACGGTGGTGGGTTTGTCTCGCTCCCTGTCTCTCTGTCAGGTTTTGCTTTATAGATTTTGAGGCCAGGGTTTAAAACTCTCACATCCCCTCGATAAGTCGCAGCGACCCTCTTGGTCCCCGCTGTTCGCCCTCTCAGTTATCCCATGGCGGCAGAAAGCTTTGCCCGCGCTGGGCGTCTCCACCGCGCAGTGTTCCAGTCTTTTCTGCGTGGCCGTGCGCCGGGCTGTCTCTCCTGGCATGCGTGTAGCCAGCTGGCGGCTGTTTTTAGCTGAATGTGAAATCCATATTTTCATTAGTGACTTTAGCCCATCGTTACTGGTGTTTTTGGGACTTAAGTTTCTACCGTCCCACTGTGGATGTCCCTTTGTCCTGCCTTTTTCATGTCCTTTTTCTCTCTCCAAATTTAAAATTTATATTCAATTTCTATTCTTTTAGTGATCACCCGCGGGATATTATTTATTCATATCGAACTTCAAAAGTCTCAAAGTTGAGCAGCATCTTTATTCTCCTCCTGTGCAATGGGACTTTTGGACACTAGCGCTAGCTCCCTTCCTGACATGCACATGGTCACACACGTGTGTTTGTGTACCCCTATGCCCACTCATCAGACAGTGCTATTATTGTTGTTGTTTTGCATGGTTGACGTGTTTTGGCTTATCTGCGTATCTGCCACATGTCTTTCCCGCTGGTATCTCACACTGTACTTCCAGATCACTTAACGTATATACATTAGAAGTTCTTGTAGAGCAGGCTTCTTGGTGGCAACCCCCCTCAGTTTTTGTTGTAAGCGGTGTTATCTCACCTTGTTCTTGGACAGTAGTGTGGCGGGAGGCGCAGCTCTGGGATGGGCATCATTTTTGCTCGGCGTGCAAAGCTGCCGCCTTCTGGCTTCTCTTGAAGACATTGGGAAGTCCGCAGTTCTGACTGCGGGACCCTTGTAGGGAACCTTTTCGTTCTCTCTCTAGCTTCCTTCGAGTCTTTCTTTGTCTTTGACTCTGTGCAGTTTCACTCTTAGATGTAGGTTTATTGCTATTTATTCTGCTTGGGATGTGTAGTGGTTCTTGGATCTGTGAATTCTTTTTTAAAATCAATTTTGGAAAATAGTCAACCATTAGCTCCTTAAATAATTCCTCTTTTCTAGTCTCTCCACTTTCTCCTCTTGGACTCTAAATATTCAACCTTCTCGTTGCAACTTCCATATTTTTTAAGCATTTCTCTTTTACATTTCCCATCACCATACCTCTCTCTGTTTCATAATGCTGGAAGTGTTTTTGCATAGATTTTCCAGTTTCCCTTTTTTTTTTGAAAAAGGTATATTCATTCCTGATAGTTTCTGGTTGTAGGTATGCTCTCTTTTTTAATTATATTCTATTTCTTTAAATATTACCTAACAGTTATTCTATTTTCTGTATCTGACAGAAAATAGTCAGTGATATTCAGTGTTTGGGGGTCTAATTGTGTTGTTTATTTCTTCTGTTGACTCTCACTCAAATGGTTTGTCCTTTCGTGTATGTAGGGTTTTGTGAGAATATGCTTGGTTTTAATTGGTAGGAATACTCTACTCCAGGCCTGACTTGGGCACATTTCCTGCACAGAGGACTTGCTTCTGCCTCTGCTGGTGATGGCTGGAAGGACTTCTGTCCCAGGACCCCAGCCTCCCTCCTTGAGGGTTTTGGGTCGGGAGCAGAGCCATAGACTCTGTTTTGATCATTGATATCGTGTGGCTACAGTTGTTCCGGCTCAGGGCACCGCCACACTGCCCTGCTGCTGCCTGGCGTCCAGGCGGCCCCGCTAATGCAGCTTCTGCTGCTCGCCTCCTGCCCTGAGCCCCAGGCTCTGGGGCCCTGGCTGCAGGTGTGACCCTCTTGGCCTCAGCAGACGTGTCTGCTTTGGTTTCTGGATGCAGAAGCCTTTCTGCTGGCTGCCCAGGCTGTGGGGGGCACTGCCTCCAACCTGGCCAGGCTCAGCTCTTGTTTGTCTATTCGTTTGTTTGCCTCACTTACCTTTCGTGAGACCACGAGGGTCCCCAAGAGTGTGCCCTGTCTGGGGTCAGTTGTTTCAAAGGAGGAAGGTTCCCTAGTCACTCCTGATGCCAGAATCATGTGCCTCGTGCTACTTTTTAAATTAAATACACACACACACACACACACACACGGATGTATGCATGCACTTTTAGGACTTTAGTGGGACTGAGTTATAGTTGTATTTCTGGCGGGGTTGGAATCTCGGCAGCACGGAGCCCTGCTGTGCCTGGGGGAGACAAGCTCTTCAAAGCTCACTGCCCTTCCTCTGTTTCCAGCTCCGCTCTGCGCTGGACAAAACGGAAGAGCTCGAGGTGAGCAACGGCCACTTAGTGAAGCGTCTAGAAAAAATGAAAGCCAATAGGAGCGCACTCTTGTCCCAGCAGTAGGTACCAGCCCGGGACGGCGGCTGGCCGGTGACTGGAGAGCATTGTCCATGGGCTTGCCTTGTCCTGTCTGGAGCGCCGCTTCCTCCCCCGCCTTCGGAGAGAAGACCTCGGCAGGCGCTCAGCTCCCAGGTGTTTTGTGCCAAGGCTCACCCGGGGGGGTGCCCCAGCCGCCACCAGACGCCTCTGTCTGCAGACCCCTGGCCCGCTGGGGGCGACACTCAGACCCCGCAGGGAACTCCACAAGCACACGGGGCCTCCAGGGGGGCCTGCGTCTGCCGGCAAGGCGGGCTCTGAACGCAGCTGAAAGTGGTGATCCCGGTAGCGATGAAGGTGGGACTTGAGTTTTCTTTTCATGTGTCTTGCTGAAGATTAAGGGGAAATGTGACATTGTTGGGACTTCCTTTCGTGGCAGAATCTGCAATCGGAGCAACTTCAGTAGTATCTCTTAGTCTGCGCTTTTCATACACAAACACTGTGGAACCACAAGCCATTACCGAGCAGAACTCTTCCACTGGAAACAAGGGGGTGGGCTAGACGTAAAAGTGACCTTAAGAAGACTCTTTACAGGCAACAAACGAAGCTTTTCTAAGGGATTTTTGCATCAGTCATAAGAAAAACTTTTTTCCAGGGTAATTAGGCAATAGCTTCACTGAAAATGACGGCTTTTCCTTTGCATTATTTAATCCTTATATTTGGAATTGAAGTTGTTAACTTCTTTTAAAGAATGTACTATTAATTAATAGAAAAATAAAAAAAATGAAATGTTGAAAGACTTTAGCAATGTGGTTTTAATTTTTTTCCCTGCAGAAAAATAAATCTTTAACTGATTTCATATTAGTTGTTCTGTATATTTTGGGGTCTTTTTATTTTTTAAGCACATGGAATCAATTCATTTTTCCTTCCCCATTTAAAAAATAGAAGTATATTCACAGAATTGGTGCACTTATTAAAAAAAAAAAAACATCCCATGAATTGAGGAAGCAGAAAAAAAAAATTAAAAAAAAAAAAAAAGAATTCGTGCACTTATAATGAAAAGTAAACTGAAGAAGTAGGAGATAGCAGAGCCGATGTCAAGGACAAACGTAGAAAAGGCTAGAATGTGAAACTTGTCTTGCAGATGTAGCTGCTGGGAATTTGTTGCTGGCTTTTTTCGTCCCTGTAACCCAGAGTTTCTCAGCCTCAGCACAACCATCGTCCTGAGCCAGATCATTCTTGGTTGCTGGGAGAGCTGCCCTGTGCACCGTGGATGTGGCTCAGCACCCCCGGATGTGGACTTTGTCCCCACCCACCCCCATGCTGGGAGCCCCCACCCAAGTCATGACAGACACAAATGTCTGCAGACGCTGCCAACGTCCACTGGGGGGCGCAAAGGCACCCCTGTTGAGAGCCGTTACTCGGCCAGAATTAGAAGGTTGGGAAAGGAGATGTTTGAAAACCTGGACTGGGATCCCAGTTGTACGATTCCTACAACTTACTGTCATTTTTAGAAACGAAATGGCATTTAGGACCTGGCGGAGCCTGCTCAAAAGACATCGTAAGTGGATAATGTGAATAGATAGCACGCATCAAGTGCGGTTCAGGGTCGCAATGAGATGTTTTCCATTGTGTTTTAAAGTTCCCATTTTAGGTCAAGATGTCAACTAAAGAAGCAAAAGCTGCAGTTGATTTTTTTTTTTTAATTATGTTATTATTCAGCAAACAAGGGTTTCTGGTTGTACAGCGCCGAGCGCCTGGGGAATACCAGATGAACGCCCACCTTTAGGAGGCTGCGGTCTTCCGGGAGAGACCGCCCACGCACAGGGACAGCCACAGCAGAAGGCAGCGGGGTTGGGAAGTGCTAGCCAGTTGCAAATTTGCAAACTGGGCACAGGTCCCTGTTGTGTATCTCTACAATCTGCCAAGCCGGATGTGGCCCACATGTTCATATGCCCGTCTGGGTGTGGCGGCAGGGGGTGGAGCTGATGTCTACTGGCCTGCCTGACTCCCTGCACCTGCAGCCACATGCAGAGAGGACCTCATTCCCCCGTGTTGAGGATGCTTGGGGATTTAGAGTCGTCCAACTCTGTGGTCAGAGGCTCTGCCCTTGTGCCTAGGAGCCTCCCGGGCTAGATTCCCACCTCGCTCCCAATCACTTGAGGACTAGACACTCCAAGCCCCCGCTCTGTACTTCCTGCCACTGCCTGTCCACTCGCTGTGAGTCTCTGCATTCAGTCAGCTCCCTAGCACGCCCTTGCTTGTGCCTTTCCCCTCTGCCAAAACTGCACGGACCCCCACTTCCGGGTTGGCCCCTACCTGGCCCCCAGGTGCACTAAGTGCTAAGCAGGTCCTGAGTGTGGTGGCCCTGCCTGTGGCTGGGTCACCTCCCTGCACAGCTGCCTGTCCCCCCAGGGGTGGCATAGAAACAAGACCACCACTTGGGGAAAGAGTTCCAAACTGGAAATATCTGAAGCTTCATGTTGACACTTTGTAAATCCCAAGGGCTTCCCGAACTGGAGTTAGATGTCGGGCAACAGCACTGGAGGAGGAGGGTTCCTGCAGTCAGTGTTTACCCTTCACCTCTAGCCTCCTGGGCCCACCGCGGCCGGGGGGCACTTGGGTCCCACTGCGCTCTGCCTTCTGAAGACAGCACCCATGTCTGACTCTCTGTGGCTTTGAACAAGTCCTGCGCCCCAGCCCAGGTGTGCTGAGCTTTCAACCCTGCTCGAGCCTCTCTCGTGCTGGTTTCCCCGTCACCAGCGTGTGGGTCCCGGCTGCGCCTGCTCCACCATGCCTGCCGGCCTGGGTCCCCTCGCGTGGATTTTCTCAGCCTGCCTCAGCAAGGCTAGGATTTTGTGGCTACCAAAAGCAGTATTTCTTCACCACCCCCGTTTTGCTAAATGTGGTTTTAAGATAGTGTGGCTTAATATTCCCATATCAAAAAGATTTAAGAATCCATAGTCTTTTAAGAATCTAGGTCTAATTTGGTTCAGATGCCGTAGAAGAACAAATTTATTTTTCCCTCCTCTCATGGGCCGTTGGGCAGAGTGAGGGGTGATGTGAAGAGAAAAGCCGCTGGCTTCGGTGACACCAAATGTAAAAAAAGATCGGATGCAGAAAAATGCTCCTAAGTACCAAGATTTAGCATGGCTGAGATTTAGCAAAGTAAAACATGGGAGAATGCAGGAGTAGATACATCAATACTACAGCAGCAGGGCAAGTTTGAAAACAAGATTTGTGGGCAGATCTGAGTTAGATCTGCTGAATTCCATCTCAGAAAAGGTAGTTAGTTGCCTCAGCAACTGAAGAAGCTGAGTCGGGGGAAAATATAATTACCAGCACAGGTTTTTAATACCCAGGAATCTCTTCTGTGTTAGAAGCCAATTTCTTTTCTTTATTGTAATTTTAAAGATAATTTAATATTTTTGTTTCTACCCTAAATGCCTATTGGTGTACGTGTGTGTGTGATTCATGATTTCATCAAGGATGACTTTGCAAATTTTCTGGAAGGTGGCCCCTCTGCAGATGATTATAATTCACTAAATATTGATCAAGTACTTAAGCACTGGGATATAACAGTCCTATTTGGAATGCAGACAATAAACCTGTAAATAGTAAGTAAATAAGATTTCAGATGATGAAAGTGCTATGAAACGAGTGGATTAATAAATTGTGGTACATGTACACCATGGAGTACTATCCAGCTATAAGAAACAATGGTGATCTAGCACCTCTTGTATTTTCCTGGATAGAGCTGGAGCCCATTCTACTAAGTGAAGTATCCCAAGAATGGAAAAACAAGCACCACATGTACTCACCAGCAAATTGGTATGAACCGATCAGCACCTAAGTGGACATAGAGGAATAACATTTATCGGGTGTCGGGCAGGTGGGGGGAGGGGATGGGCATACACATACATAATGAATGCGGTACGCACCAACTGGGGGATGGACACGCTTAAAGCTCTGACTCGGGGGAGGGGGGACAAGGGCAATATATATAACCTTAACATTTGTACCCCCATTATATGCTGAAAAAATAAATAAAAGTGCTATGCAAGAAGCTGAAAGCAGGTGGTGGGGTGGGGAGTGAGCTAAACGGCGTGGTCAGGAGTGGGGAGTGGGGAGGTGGCTGCTGTAGCTGTCTGGTTAGCAAAGCCTTCATGGAGTCAGTGACATTTAAACTAAAACCTAAGGATGAAAAAGTCTTGGCCATTTGAATGTCTAGAACAGCATTATCCAATAGAAACATAATATGAGCCGCATACGCAATTTAAGTTTTTCTAGTAGCTACATTTAAAAAATAAACAGATGAAATTAATTTTAATAATACAGTTTATTTAACCCAATATATCCAAATTATCATTCCACCAAAGTAATAATACACATTTTAAAATTATTAATGAGATACTTTATATTCTTTATAGCAAATTTTCAAATAGATATAGCAAATATAAAATCAAATATGTTATATCTATAGCAACCTTTCAATTCAGATGCTAAGTTTTCATTATGAATACTTGATCTATGTTAAGATTTCATAACATTTACAGCTGAAAAAGTAGATTCAGGCCAGGCACAGTGGCTCACACCTGTAATCCCAACACTTTGGGAGGCCAAGGTGGGAGCATCACTTGAGGCCTGAAGTTTGAGACCAGCCTGGGCAACAGAGCAAGACTCTGTCTCTACAGAAAATTTTAAAAAGTGAAAAATTAGCCAGGTGTGGTGGCACACGCCTGTAGCCCTAGCTACTTGAGAGGCCGAGGCAGGAGAATTGTTTGAGCCTGGAAGTTTGAGGTTACAGTGAGCTGTGATCATGCCACTGCACTCCAGCCTGGGTGACAGACTGAGCCCCTGTCTCAGAAAAAAACAAAAAAAGAGTAGATTCTTATACCTGAGTTTTGTTCTAAAGGTACTTAAAAGTTTTCCAATAATTAAGTTAAATATAAAAAATGCATTTCCTTTAATAATTGTACCTACATTGATAAAACTGATTCATTTTTTTAGAACTGATTTGACTTTAAAGCAAAAGCATATTAGTTTCAAAACTACTTCCAAATTAAGGAAATCCATCAACTCTTGTGTTGATTCAGGATCAATACATCAAATTCAAAGAAGTATTACATTTAGGCAATAGCTTCACTGAAATGACGGCTTTTCCTTTGCATTATTTAATCCTATATTGGAATTGAAGTTGTTTAACTTCTTTAAAGAATGTACTAATTAAGTTAATAGAAAAATAAAAAAATGAAATGTTGAAAGACTTTAGCAATGTGGTTTAATTTTTTTCCCTGCAGAAAATAAATCTTTAACTGATTTCATATTAGTTTTCTGATATTTTTGGGGTCTTTTTATTTCTTTAAGCACCATGGAATCAATTCAGTTTTTCTTCCCCACTTAAAAAATAGAAGTTATTAGCAGAATTGGTGCACTTATAATGAAAAGTAAACTGAAGAAGTAGGAGATAGTAGAGACGATGTCAAGGAAAAATGTAGAAAAGGCTAGAACGTGATTTTTAAATTTATTTCATGGAATAAAACTTGTCTTGCAGATGTAGCTGCTGGGAATTATGTTGTGCTTTTTCGTCCCTGCAACCCAGAGTTCTTCAGCCTCAGCACAACCATCGTCCTGAGCCAGATCATTCTTGGTTGCTGGAGAGCTGCCCTGTGCACCGTGGATGTGGCTCAGCACCCCCGGATGTGAACTTTGTCCCACCCCCCATGCTGGGAGCCCCACCCAAGTCATGACAGACACAAATGTCTGCAGACGCTGCCAACTCCACTGGGGCGCAAAAAGCAC